AGGATTCCTTGTAGGATTTAGTGGTGTCACTTCTCGGTAGGAATCAGTGGTTTGACTTCCGGGTGGGATCAAGTGTTTTTACTTTTTAGGCTAGGAAAAAAAAGACGTTCACTTCCTGGAAATATCAATGTGGAGATTTTTGCGGACTAGTTATATTTCGCATGCTTCTTGGACATTGATCATCCCAACATTTCAGTTTCTCTTATGGAAATCATTCCGTGGGGTTATGTTCTGCCCCAAATTTGTTGCTGAAAAAGAATATTTATGGTCAGAAAATACACTTTAGGCAACTGGCTGTCGAGAGTGCCGATTTTGGTCAATAATAAAGTGGTTACCGAATGGCTTTATTGATCACTATCACGACCAGGGGGATACCCTGTCTCCTCATTCTGACTAGTTAAAAATATTGATAATACTACTGCTAACATAAATGAATATTTATAAGGCAGTAGACACCATACACTGGCGCATGCTCACAGTTTTACACAATATGCACATCTATTTACGGTAGAACTAAAATATAATAATATGGCCTTTTGATACAAGTACAGTTCATAATGAATTTGTTTTATATCCATTTACCTCACACTTCATATATCTCCATGTAGGATTACTATCGATTATGTCGCTGATTTATTGCTATGTTGGATCCTTATCCTGCGTTCATTATCACACTATCGAGGGGCCAGGGCTATTGCATGTGGATCGGATTTATCTACAGCTACAAAACCACACAATGTTTTATTTAAAACTATGAGTATAATTATTTATATTGTTTTGGAAGATACATGAATTAATTTCTATTTTTTTCTAGCTAATTATTTTTTTTTACCAGAGTCTTCAGCATAAGCCCTTTTTCACGAAAGAATACTCACAACAAACTTTTTTCGATTATTTTTCTGATGGAACATACGGCTACCAGTGTCACTGTCCATCTTTGATATAATACTCATGTGACAGGCAGCTGTCCTGATGGTACATACGGCTACCAGTGTCACTGTCTATCTCTGATATAATACTCATGTGACAGGCAGCTGTCCTGATGGTACATACGGCTACCAGTGTCACTGTCTCTCTGATATAATACATCTGTTACATGTAGCTGTCCTGATGGTACATGCATCTACCAATGTTACTGTCTATCTCTGATATAATACGTCTGTCACAGGTAGATTTCCTTATGGTACATACGGCCACCAGTGCCACTGTCTATTACTGATATAATACTTCTGTTACAGGTAGCAGTCCTAACGGTACATGCGGCTAACAGTGTCACTGTCTATCTGTGATATAATACTTCTGTTACAGGTAGCTGTCCTAACGGTACATACGGCAACCAGTGCCACTATCTATCGCTAGTATAATACGTCTGTTACAGGCAGCTGTCCTAATGGTACATACGGCTACCAGTGTCACTGTCTATCCCTGATATAATACGTCTGTTACAGGCAGCTGTCCTAATGGTACATGCAGCTACCAGTGTCACTGTCTCTCTGATATAATACTTCTGTTACAGGTAGATTTCCTGATAGTGCATACGGCCACCAGTGTCAATGTCTATCTCTGATAAAATACATATGTTACAGGCAGCTGTCCTAACGGTACATACGGCTACCAGTGTCACTGTCTATCTCTGATATAATACTTCTGTTACAGGCAGCTGTCCTGATGGTACATACAGCTACCGCTGTCTCTGCCAGTCACTTACATAATACGTCTGTTACAGGAAGCTGTCCTAACGGTACATACGGCTACCAGTGTCACTGTCTATCTCTGATATAATACTTCTGTTACAGGCAGCTGTCCTGATGGTACATGCAGCTACCAGTGTCACTGTCTATCTCTGATACAACACTTCTGTTACAGGCAGCTGTCCTAACGGTACATATGGCCAACAGTGTCACTGTCTATCTCTGATATAATACTTCTGTTACAGGCAGCTGCCCTAACGGTACATATGGCTACCAATGTCACTGTCTATCTCTGATATAATACTTCTGTTACAGGCAGCTGCCCTAACGGTACATATGGCCAACAGTGTCAGTGTCTATCTGTGATATAATACTTCTGTTACAGGCAGCTGCCCTAACGGCACATATGGCTACCAGTGTCACTGTCTATCTCTGATACAATACTTCTGTTACCGGCAGCTGCCCTAACGGCACATATGACCACCAGTGTTACTGTCTATCTCTGATATAATACTTCTGTTACAGGCAGCTGTCCTAACGGTACATACGGCCACCAGTGTCACTGTCTATCTCTGATATTATACATCTGTTACAGGCAGCTGTCCTCACGGTACATACGGCTACCAGTGTCACTGTCTATCTCTGATATAATACTTCTGTTACAGGCAGCTGTCCTAACGGTACATACGGCCACCAGTGTCACTGTCTATCTCTGATATTATACTTCTGTCACAGGTAGATTTCCTCATGGTACTTACGGCCACCAGTGCCACTGTCTATTACTGATATAATACTTTTGTTACAGGTAGCAGTCCTAACGGTACATGCGGCTACCAGTGTCACTGTTTGTCTCTGATACAATACTTCTGTTACAGGCAACTGTCCTAATGCTACATACGGCTAGCAGTGTCACTGTCTATCTCTGATATAATACTTCTGTTACAGAGAGTTGTCCTAACGGCACATACGGCTACCAGTGTCACTGGCTATCTCTGATATAATACTTCTGTTACAGGCAGCTGTCTTGATGGTACATACAGCTACCAGTGTCACGGTCTATCTCTGATACAATACTTCTGTTACAGGCAGCTGTCCTAACGGCACATATGGCCACCATTGTCACTGTCCATCTCTGATATAATACTTCTGTTACAGGCAGCTGCCCTAATGGTACATATGGCCAACAGTGTCACTGTCTATCTGTGATATAATACTTCTGTTACAGGCAGCTGCTCTAAAGGCACATATGGCTACCAGTGTCACTGTCTATCTCTGATATAATACTTCTGTTACAGGCAGCTGCCCTAAAGGCACATATGGCTACCAGTGTCACTGTCTATCTCTGATATAATACTTCTGTTACAGGCAGCTGCCCTAACGGCACATATGACCACCAGTGTTACTGTCTATCTCTGATATAATACTTCTGTTACAGGCAGCTGTCCTAACGGTACATACGGCCACCAGTGTCACTGTCTATCTCTGATATTATACTTCTGTTACCGGCAGCTGTCCTGATGGTACATACAGCTACCAGTGTCACTGTCTATCTCTGATATAATACTTCTGTTACAGGCAGCTGTCCTAATGGTACATATGGGCAACAGTGTCACTGTCTATCTGTGATATAATACTTCTGTTACAGGCAGCTGTCCTCACGGTACATACGGCTACCAGTGTCACTGTCTATCTCTGATATAATACTTCTGTTACAGGCAGCTGTCCTAACGGTACATACGGCCACCAGTGTAACTGTCTATCTCTGATATAATACTTCTGTCACAGGTAGATTTCCTCATGGTACTTACGGCCACCAGTGCCACTGTCTATTACTGATATAATACTTTTGTTACAGGTAGCAGTCCTAACGGTACATGCGGCTACCAGTGTCACTGTCTATCTCTGATATTATACTTCTGTTACAGGCAGCTGTCCTTACGGCACATATGGCTACCAGTGTCACTGGCTATCTCTGATATTACACTTTTGTTACAGACAGCTGTCCTAATGGCAAATATGGCTACCAGTGTCACTGTCTGTCTCTGTTATAATACTTCTGTTACAGGCAGCTGTCCTAACGGTACATACGGTTACCAGTGTCACTGTCTATCCCTGATATAATACTTCTGTTACAGGCAGCTGTCCTTACGGCACATACAACTACCAGTGCCACTATCTATCTCTGATATAATACGTCTGTTACAGGCAGCTGTCCTAATGGTACACACAGCTACCAGTGTCACTGTCTCTCCGATATAATACTTCTGTTACAGGCAGCTGTCCTTACGGCACATACAACTACCAGTGCCACTGTCTATCGGTGATATAATACTTCTGTTACAGGCAGCTGTCCTAACGGTACATACGGCCACCAGTGTTACTGTCTATCTCTGATCTTATACATCTGTTACAGGTAGCTGCCCTAACGGCACATATGGCTACCAGTGTCACTGTCTATTACTGATATAATACGTCTGTCACAGGTAGATTTCCTCATGGTACATACGGCCACCAGTGCCACTGTCTATTACTGATATAATACTTCTGTTACAGGCGGCTGTCTTGATGGTACATACAGCTACCAGTGTCACTGTCTCTCTGATATAATACTTCTGTTACAGGTAGCCGTCCTAACGGTACATGCGGTTACCAGTGTCACTGTTTGTCTCTGATACAATACATCTGTAACAGGCAACTGTCCTAATGGTACATACGGCTAACAGTGTCACTGTCTATCTCTGATATAATACTTCTGTTACAGACAGCTGTCCTAACGCCACATATGGCTACCAGTGTCACTGTCTATCTCTGATACAATACTTCTGTTACAGGCAGCTGTCCTGATGGTACATACGGCTACCAGTGTCACTGTTTGTCTCTGATACAATACTTCTGTTACAGGCAGCTCTCCTGATGGTACATACATCTACCAGTGTCACTGTCTATCTCTGATACAATACTTCTGTTACAGGGAGCTGTCCTGATGGTACATACAACTACCAACGTCACTGTCTATCTCTGATACAATACTTCTGTTACAGGCAGCTGTCCTGATGGTACATACAACTACCAACGTCACTGGCTATCTCTGATATAATACTTATGTTACAGGCAGCTGTCCTAACGGCACATATGGCTACCAATGTCACTGTCTATCTCTTATAAAATACTTCTGTTACAGACAGCTGTCCTGATTGTACATACGTCTAAGAGTGTCACTGTCTATCTCTGATATAATACTTCTGTTAAAGGCAGCTGTCCTAACGGTACGTACGGTTTCCAGTGTGGCTACAGGTGTAACTGCCACCAAGACAAGTGTGATTCTACTTCCGGCTGCAGTCAGACAGTTTGTGATACAGGATGGTCTGGTCCGACATGTCAGAAACGTATGTTACTATAGCTGCACAACTACTGACATTACACTGACAATCAACAAACATCCAACAAGTGGTATACAATCAACAAATGTATAACAAAATTCACTAGGTTTACAAATCAATACAAATTACTGCAAAGCAATTACAATGACAGTACACACTAGTAGTAGTACAATACTGAATGGCAGTATATTTTATGATGGCAGTGGTCAGTATCAAATACAAAAATACCGCGGTGAAAGCAAAAGTGATAATAGTTTATTCACCAAGCGGCGACAGTGGTCAATCTTCCGAGATGAGCCTAGGCTCGGAATCCGGGGTGATGAGTGATGTTCACAAGAAAACTGGTCTTGATGTAATGAAATGTGTGAGAGATACGGAAGACACGCTCTTTTCACCTCAATGCGTAAATAAAAAAATGGTTTCAGGAATTGTTGCATTCTCGCGTTGTGACATTGTTGCGTTATCTGTAATATATTTCAGGTGTTGCCTTCGTCTCATTTTATGCCTTGGATCTCATGTTTCTAACTCGAAACGTTGCAGAAAATGATGGATAATATTACATGTACGACCTCTGTTTACCATCAGATTTTATCAAACAAAACCAAATATTTTAGCCCTGTTCCAATATTGACGCGCGTATGTAGTAAGTTAATTAAACTATCCATCCGCAAAAATGGTTCTCCTCCTTTTCAATTCCAATATATTTAATGGCCTTGATTCAATTACAATACATATTTTTGATCGCTTATTAAGAAACTATTTCAGATAGCATTTTTGTCTGTGTCGATTTCACAAAGCAAGAAACAAACTCTTTGGATCTCGGTATACAGGACATACCAAACAATCGTATGTGTGCAATGCCTGTATGTATTACCTCAACCAGACAAACAACGGTCCTTTAACCCAGAGAGTTAGCTTTCAAATGTATGCGCGTTGTTGTGACAAGAAAGAAAAAGCCTGTTTCTAACAAAAGAAATCAAACCCCTGGAATGTGAAACAGCCAGCAATCCGCCCATAACAAGTCTGGTGTTGTATTAAAGAATGTGAAATATGTGTGATGTATGTAAGTCTAGTTAATGGGCAGAAGTCTTAATGTAAGGCAATAAAAGAGACCAGATTCTGCGGAACACCGCTGACTCTCGATATCGAATACAAACAAATTCAATAAATTGAAAGAAGTATCTTGTTCATGCATTTTCCAGATAATGTTGCGAGGACGAAAGTAACATCATCCAGTGGAGAGGGTCCCTGGCCGTCATCCATAGCTACAGACGGAAGCACTGCTGCACACTCGTATTCTGTCTGTATAGAGACAGCGCCCAGCAACCCCAACTGGTGGCGTGTGGATCTCAATGACACAGTGCTGATACGTGAGGTCACCATCTACTTCAGAACTGACTGTGAGTTTATTGTCATCTGCAATCGATAATGCTGCGTTAGTTATTAGTTTGTGGGAATCTATTGTTGTCTGGGTAATGTTTATACAACGTTCATCAATTTGGGTAATAAACGTACTTTTTTCTTAAAGACAGTGTTGAATACGTTCATGTGGCTATATATGTGCGATTCCCTTCCTGTAACTTTATTGAAGCAATTATTCCAGACAAACCAAGAAGGAATGGTATCCAGGTGTACGTGACCAACTCCACTGATGCCCCCAGGGGTCACAACTGCTACAACGTGATAGGAGGAAGTGATGGAAGTGGCATTGCTGACGTCACACGGGCACCTTGCTCTAGCACGGGGCGCTACATTTTACTTTACACAACAGTGCACAATGATTGGGACAGTCTGCCTGTACTTGACTTTTGTGAGGTAGAAGTTGATGGTAAGCTGACACTACTGTGACATATTTTGTAATAGTACTATCGGTGCTCTAAGCACAGCAATGATCTAAGCAATGATTTTACATTAATTAAAAGCAGCGACTGGCAAGCTATCATCATGACCACACATACATTAACTCAACAAGCAACATAAAGTGTTGTTACTGAACTTTGCTGCAAATTTATCGATTTGTAATTTGTCCCTTCATGCATGTTTTCGAAAAGAAGTATCCGTCAATCATGATCTATGCTGCACCTCGCTTTACCAGTGCCACATGTTCTCAATCAAATATGTAACTTTATGTTAAGATAAGAACATCAATGCGTGAAATAGGTTCAGTTTGTCCTCATCATGTTTAATAATCTATACATATGTGTCATGTCTTCGCTTTCGTGGTCATAGAAACCCATAAAATACATGTAAAACTCAATGTACTGTGGTGTAAGAATCAAACATCCATTTGACAGTGTGCAGTCCTGGTACTTTCGGCTCTGTCTGTGACAACTACTGCCACTGTAACGGTGAGGTGTGCAACTACGTCAGCGGTATCTGTCCGAGTGGAATTTGTATGTCAGGCTGGAGGGGCAACAGTTGCAACACCAGTGAGTTAAACAAAGAAATTACCCGAGAAGAAAACTTGAATAAACACCGTTTAGTAGAATAGAAATACATAAAATTGAACTGAACTAATTTCTAAAATGAAGCTATACTAACTCAGATGTTTTCCAGTTCAATATAAATTAAGACATTAATATGTCGCACAAATACAGTAGAATGTTTTCAGTGACAAAACAAAACAAAACAGGATAAAATTACCATTTACTGAAAATCGTGCATTTAGCCACAGCGACTTTGGACTATGAAGAACGAAATGCGCGTACAAAAGTAATGCATAAAACTGGTGACACGGCCCGTCATGAACACATCAACCAAATCCACCAAGAAAATATGCCACGTTTAACCACTATACAGATGCAAGAGCGTTTCGATGCATCTGTGTCAACATTACCAGATTGTGGCAACGTTTACAACAGACAGGACATACATCAGACACGAGTAGAATCGGCAGACCACGCCCACTGAAGACCATCACACTCGGACCATTCATCGCCCAAACCCCTTCATTACAGCGGCGGTAACTACACTGATGACACTGGGACAGACAGTGTATAGGAGATGAAGAAAACGTGGTATCAGAACATGTTGACTCTACCACAGATTGATGTTAATTCGTCAACACCAACGTGACAGGTTGTCATGGGCCAGGTGAGTTCGATTTTGGCATGTGCTAGACTGGGTACGCGTCATGTTCTACAATGAGAGCAGATCTTGTGTGTACAGAAATTATGGCCTGCAGCGAGTTTTTAGACGAGTAGGTGCAGGTGCTTGAATGTGTTCAGCAAGTTCAACCATTTGGAGGCGGTACCATCATGGTCTGGGAAGGTATCTGAGGTGATGTCAAAACGAGGCTCGTTATCATCAGTGTACCCTGAATGCCCAGAGATATGGGGGTGAAGTTTGATTATTCCTTCAGCAACAGCCACATGGTATTGTCTTCAGCAAGACAATGCGAGACCGCATACCACAAGGCAAACACAAAACTTTCTGAACAACGCGAACATTCACTTTTCACCCTGGCTGGCACGTTCTCCTGATGTTACCCCATTGAACAATTATGGAACCACCTTGACCAATAGATCTAAAGACGACCAATGGCTCATGTCAACCGCCAAGAATTGGAACAATGTCTCCTTGGGGAACAGCAGCGGATTACCTCCAACGTTATTGGACGTTTGACGTCATCGGTGCATCGTCGTGTTCAGGCGTGCATTAATGAACACGGTGGACATATTCGGTATTTCGTGACAGTGATTTTTACCCCCGTGTGTCTTTGTGTCTCAGTCAGTCGTAAAGATTTTGTCTGGATAACATGAGCAGATTTACACATTATGTTCACAACACCAATGAAAAATACAACTCTAATGAAATATATGCATATTGATAGATAGATAGTATAGATACTAATGGTTTTCTTTCAAAGTCTTTCAAATTCTTGGAACTTTACATTCACAAACATTTCTTCAAGAATTTGGATAAATTCCTTACTGTAATTTCAACATTAGTGGAATTTTAACTTTCATGAACGTATTTTACACAATTTAATTGATTCATGAAATTAAATTCATAGTCTCTGTATCTGCTGTTTCAGCATGTCCAATGGGTTATTACGAACGACGCTGCTCCAAGCGATGCACAGACAGAATGTGTAAGGACAACACCTCCAGCTGTAACCATGCAACTGGTGAATGTTCAGGTGGATGTCTGGCAGGCTACCAAACACCGGACTCCACACAGGGTAAGGATACACGGGTGTATGTTGTGTATGTAGAGCTGTATTCTGTAAAATAGCTTCAATAATTTGAGTGGGTATGGTTTTACGCAGGTTTTAGCAATATTCCAGCCATATCACGACGGGGGACACCAGAAATGAGCTTTACACATTGTACCCATGTTGGGAATAGAACCTGTGTCTTCTGCGTGACGAGCAAACGCTTTAACCACTAGGCTACCCGACCGCCCCATTCAATAATTTGAATAAACCTAGCACAAACATATTAGAAATGCAGACACAACATATGTTTCTTTGAAGAATGCGTCGATACGTATGGAGAGAACTGCACAAGAAGCTGCTCAGCCAGACATTGTAGAGACACGCCCCAATCTGTATGTGATCACGTGACTGGATCGTGTAAAGGAGGCTGCAGTCCCGGATGGAAAGATGTCGATTGCACAACAGGTTAGAGCTGTGTGGAAAGGAAACATTCTTTGTGGATATAATATGATCGAATGTAAACTCATGACACATTTATTGATAGTCCAAGCTTTCATTTTTACTCACATTTTACCCCTTGAATCACGTTATTCATGAGTAATAAAAGTCGTCGTGTTCATTGTAATTCATGCATTTTGAATAGCTGAATTTGTCATGTGTTATTGCATTCATTTCCCAATGAATGTAAAAAATTAAGTCACGCCCACCGAAGTTGACTACTTTTATTAGTGCTGAATGTTGGGAATCCCATTATTACAGCCTGTGGAATTCTCTTTCTGCTCACGTGTAACGTCATGCACAGGACGCTTTGCGAAATGCATGCATATTCATTGTCCAAACTACCATTTGAGACTGAAGACCGAGAAGGAATGAAACAGTTAACGTGCATGCTCGCTCGACTGTTTTTTGTCCGCTCGCCTGGGTTCCAAAAATTTCATGTCTTTGGGTTTTATTTCTAACCCGCATTTTCCAAATGTGTCTTCTTGTTCTCAGGGAGGTAATGTTTGAATCTGGTGGTAACTTCTTAAATAAAATAAAAAAGTGCAAAATGTATATTCAGACATACAGCTTACGTGATATGACAGACGAAACAGTCTAAATAAAAGCAAAAAAAATCCTAGTGCTAGACTGGGGATGCGTCATGTTTTACAATGAGAGTAGGTCTTGTGTGTACAGAAATTTTAGTCTGCAGCGAGTTTTCAGACGAGAAGGTACACACGCTTGATTTTGTTCAGCAAGTTCAACCATTTGGAGGCGGTACCATCATGGTCTGGGAAGGTATCTGAGGTGATGTCAAAATGAGGTTCGTTATTATCAGTGTAACCTGAATGCCTTGAGATATGGGGGTGAAGTTTGGATATTCCTTCAGCAACAGCCACATAGTATTGTCTTCAGCAAGACAATGCTAGACTGCATACCACAGGGCTAACACAAAACTTGCTGAACAACGCGAACATTCACTTTTCACCCTGGCTGGCACGTTCATCAAACATTCATGGCATCACCTTGACTGACAGATCAAAAGGCGACCAATGGCTCCAGACAACCGTCAAGAATTGGAACAATGTCTTTTTGAGGAACAGCAGCGGATATCCTCAAACGTTATTGGACGTTTGACGTAATCGGTGCGTCGTTGTGTTCAGGCGTGCATTAATGCACACTGTGGACATATTCGGTATGTCGTGACAGTGGTTTCTAACCCAGTGTGTCTTTGTGTCTCATTTAGTTGCAAAGATTATCTTTGGATAACATGAGCAGTTTTACACATTATGTTCACAACTCCAGTGAAATATATACATATTGATATAATACATGCTTCTGGTTTTCTTTCACAGTCTTTCAAATTCTTGGTATGCTTTCTTTTGGACTTTGCTTTACATTCACAAACATTTCTTCAAGCATTTGAATGAATTCCTTTCTGTAATTTCAACATTAGTGGAATTTTTAACTTTTATGAACGTATTTTACACAATTTAATTGATTCATGAAATTAAATTCATAGTCTCTGTATCTGCTGTTTCAGCATGTCCAATGGGAGAATACGGACGAAACTGCTCCAAGCGATGCACAGACAGAATGTGTATGGACAACACCTCCAGCTGTAGCAATGCAACTGGTGAATGTTCAGGTGGATGTCTGGCAGGCTACCAAACACCGGACTACACACAGGGTAAGGATACACGGGTATATGTTGTATATGTAGACCAGCATTTTAAACAGCTGTATTCTGTAAAATAACTTCAATAATTTGAGTGGGTATGGTTTTACGCCGCTTTTAGCAATATTCCAGCCATATCACGACGGGGGACACCAGAAATCGGCTTCAAACATTGTACCCATGTTGGGAATAGAACCTGGATCTTTGGCGTGACGAGCGAACGCTTTAACCACTAGGCTACCCGACCGCCCCATTCAATAATTTGAATAAACCCAGCACAAACATATTAGGAATGCAGACACAACATATGTTTCTTTGAAGAATGCGTCGATACGTATGGAGAGAACTGCACAAGAAGCTGCTCAGCCAGACATTGTAGAGACACGCCCCAATCTGTATGTGATCACGTGACTGGATCGTGTAAAGGAGGCTGCAGTCCCGGATGGAAAGATGTCGATTGCACAACAGGTTAGAGCTGTGTGGAAAGGAAAATTCTTTGTGGATATAATATGATCGAATGTAAACTCATGACACATTTATTGATAGTCCAAGCTTTCATTTTTACTCACATTTTACCCCTTGAATCACGTTATTCATGAGTAATAAAAGTCGTCGTGTTCATTGTAATTCATGCATTTTGAATAGCTGAATTTGTCATGTGTTATTGCATTCATTTCCCAATGAATGTAAAAAATTAAGTCACGCCCACCGAAGTTGACTACTTTTATTAGTGCTGAATGTTGGGAATCCCATTATTACAGCCTGTGGAATTCTCTTTCTGCTCACGTGTATCGTCATGCACAGGACGCTTTCATGTCTTTGGGTTTTATTTCTAACCCGCATTTTCCAAATGTGTCTTCTTGTTCTCAGGGAGGTAATGTTTGAATCTGGTGGTAACTTCTTAAATAAAATAAAAAAGTGCAAAATGTATATTCAGACATACAGCTTACGTGATATGACAGACGAAACAGTCTAAATAAAAGCAACAAAATCCTGTCAACATTCAGAAGAAATCTCTTCTAACAGGAGAGTCGATTGTATAATACCAACTAGATCATGAAAATATGTTTATGAATCAACATCAAAAGGGATGATACCAGATGTTCGCGAAAAGGTGAGCGTATCTTGCCCCAGCAGTGGCACCCGTCACAGCAGACAATCAAAGAAAAGTCATTTGTTCACCGTAAAAACAACAACACGGGAACATATGGTACAACTCAAATAGGGAATTGCATCGGACATCAGTTTTGACACTGATGCGTCAAATTTTGAAATATCCTCCATATGTCTACCATAAAACGTTTTGTAACCTTGATAAAACAACATTAAAACAGACCGTGTTTTTAAATTGAATATCTACCCCAGATGGTTCAGTCAACAATGATCTTACAGCGAAAATAATGACTTGTATTTTCCCTTTGGTTTATACAATTCAACTCTGAATTCATACTCAGAGTGGTATGTGATGTCAAGATGTTAAAGGTGGACATTGCACACGAAGTATGTGATGTGACACTTGGTGCATTTGTTGATGGTGTTACTGAAACGTTCATTTTTATATATATTCCAATAAATTTAATTAACAAGTTTGAAATTACACACGTACTATTTCAAAATTGGATTAATATGTAATTAATAAACTTTAATCAATTATCAATAATCATATTCAACATGCATTCATGCATTCATGTATATTCATCTAATTTCAATCAACAAATTGTCACATCAGCATTAAGGTTATATTTTTCCTTCCACAATAATCTGACACTGCCATGATATAACTGAACTTGCACACCCACTCAGGGTCATTATTATTTCAGTGACTGTTTCAACTCCTCAATCCGACGACTCAAACGGAGCTACGATTGGTGGTATCGTTGGTGGCGTGTTAGCAGTGGTCGTGGTTGTACTTGCTGTGATAGGTGTTATGTTTTACAGGTAGGTGCACTTTTATGAAAATGGACACATACATACACTACATTTCAAAAGTCACTTCCCCTGTATCGCGAAACTATTTCGCTATACGTTCGCGATAGTGCCGTGAAAGTATCGCGAAAGTGACTCGAAAGTGGCGCGATAATACCGCGAAAGTGGCTAGAAAATGCCGCGAAAGTTGCGCGCTAATGCCGCGAAGTTTCGCGTAAGTGGCGCAAAAGTGCCGTGATAGTGCCGCAATAGTGCCGTGAAAGTGGCGCGATAGTGCCCCGATAGTGCCGTGAAAATGGCGCGATAGTGTCGCAAAAGTCGGTAATGGTGCCGAGAAAGTGGCGCCATATTGGTACAGTGCATGTACACTTCAGAAATGCTGTCGTGCGTTACTTCCCTATGTACGAGTATGTCGGATGTATGTTCAATCTAACCTGGAGCTATACTCGTATAAGCCTGTTGCTCGTGTTATATTTAAAGAGGTGTAGGTGGTAGGTCCATTAACAGTATAAAGCTTTACATGGATATGTTCTTAAAACTGTATTTTTTCCGCAAGGATGCATGACCTATTCTATATTAATCAATAAGAAATTCATTGACAAATGTTTATATTTTATGATGTGTGTAACTCATTTGTATAAGTTATCAATAGTCTTCGGAATTGGGAGTAGTGTATGAGAACGCAATTCCCAGTGGTGCCTGAATACACTTTTTTTTCTAGATTCACCCCGATTTTGGTCCTCAGTTCATCTGATTCATACACAATAAGGACTTGCGTTCGTCCGTAAATGCCTGAAATGCTGAGTGTTAACAGCGGCCATCACAGCCTCTGTTTAGCATTTAGCATTCAAAATTAAATATATGAAAATACATTTCGGTTTGATGTGCTTATGAAAACGGAATAACTTTCCTCAAAACGAAGTAGAAACCAGGTGATACACGGATGATACATACATGTAAGGAAGAGAATTTATGGATGGTAACTTTATTATGAGGAACACAATGTTTCGAAGTAATATTTACTCTTTCATCAGGTGAAGGAGTAAGTGTACACTCCGAAACATTGTGTTCCCCAAATTAAAGAAGTCTTCCTTATGTGTTGAACTTGTAAATGATTTTCAAAGACATGATACATAGACAGTTTTAAAATGATAGGTCAAATACTGTGTTGTTTATCTGTTCCACATAGTGGTAAGTTGTAATATGAGTTTCTGCTCGTTAATCAGACAAACTACTGCTACACTTGGTTTGTGGAAAAGTTGATGCACGTATACACATGTCGAGTGTCTGAGATACCCGGGGTCTGCTTACTTACTTACTTAAATTGGGACTTTAACGTGCGCTTTCCGACACATGCGTATTTCGCGCACGGGCCCGCCAGGCCATTTAGTGTTTGGTCGAAAAGGGTATGTCCGAGAAGGTTGGGCAACCTAGGGGGGCTTTTAGGGTTGTTTACTTAATTTGGATAACAAATTTGGAATTTTGAAATATGCCATGCAAAAGGTGGAGGGGGGACTAAATGTAGTTTTAGTAGTTGTAGTTCTAAGTGTGTTTTTGTAGGTTTAGAATTTTAAGTGAGTGAGTGAGTGAGTTTGGTTTTACGCCGCTTTTAGCAATATTCCAGGAATATCACGGCGGGGGACACCAGAAATGGGCTTCACACATTGTACCCATGTCGGGATTCGAACCCGGGTCTTCGGCGTGACGAGCGAACGCCTTAACCACTAGGCTACCCGACCGCCCCTAGAATTTTAAGGTTTATTGGCAGCTTGTTTGTTGTACTTTGTCAGATGCGGCCGAGTAGGCCTGTTTTGATTAGATATATGCCTAGTGCTTTAAAGGTTTGTAAGTCATTTAGGGGGTTTAGTACCGTTGCTAGTATCATTTGATTGTTGCAGTTTAGTGTGGATTGGAGTGTTGTTCTATGTTGCTGGTACTGTGTGCAATATAGTATTACGTGTTCAGGAGTTTCTTTTAAGTTGCAGTGGGGGCATTTCCCGGATTGGTGTTTTTTTTAAAATTTGGTGTAGGTGGGAGTTTAACTTAGTGTGGCCTGTTGGTAGTTTAGTTATTTCTGATAGTTATTTTGCTACTTTTTTTGTTACTTTTAATTTAATTTTTGTACATTGGTAGGTTGATGCTTACTTCTTCTTATTTTAGAGCTGATTTGGCTGCTTTGTCTGCGTGTTAGTTGCCAAACACTCCAACGTGGGCAGGGATCCGTACTATTTCTATGTCTTTACCTTGTATACGTAGATTGTTGACGCTTTTAATTATCCGTTGTATTAGTTTTGGGCGCTTTTTTGTGGTTTTAGTTTTGTTTATAGCCTGGAGCCCACTTAATGAATCTGAAAGGATTAGGGTTTTTGGTGGCGGGGTCTGCAGATATAGTTGTGATTTGATGAATTCTTTATTCTCTAGACATTCGAGAGCGAACCAGACTGCAGCATTATTCACAATGAATATACTCAGAATATCTACTCCAATAGAAAAAAGCACCCCACAGTTTATTATGTAACTTATAGCGAGACAACTCGGATAGTTAATTACATTGTCTTCTCACAATGCTAAGCAGGTGCACGAAATAACAGGAAGAGTCATGCGTTACATAACATCATAAACGTGGAAGATGAAATCCACCTTCCAGCAGATTGTATTCATTAGGAGTAGGGTAGATTCAGCTGTGCAGACAATTGAATAGTAGCGTTAACCAGTGGCATTTAAGACGTTTTTACATTTAAGAACATATGTAATACTCATGGTCATTAGGACGGAAGCGCAACAGATATGAACGATCTCGATAGGTTTGTGCGAGGATTAAGGATTACCATCTATTTGCGACACAAGATCTAAACTGTATTTTTCAGTGAGTATTTGTACGTGGGCCTATGGCTATACTGAAAAATAAAGAACTGAATTGAAATAAAGAATTGAATTGAAATAAAGAATTGAATTGAATTGACACAAGATCATATTTCTTCGTCAGCAACATCTCACATACCCTGTGGTATCGTGTTTGCTTAGAATATAGAACAATGACTTCAAACACATTACACTATGCAGACATTTTGTCGTCTTGTTCTTAACATTCCTTCACTGAAATAGGATTGCTACGCAGTATTTAATTAACTTGTTACGTTGGATTCGAGACCAGAGAACATGTTATGTATCGATGCCGGTTGTTTATTAATGTTCACTAAAGGAGGGAGGGCTATACTTGACAAGGACCTCTTGGCTAAAGGTCATGAAAATATGTTTCTCATGTCGTTGTGTTTAGTTATACGTGTGCGCCTGCACTAATGAAGTAAGTGAATGTTAAGAAGACGAGATAACATGTACCTGTATCATCCATCACACAAAACAATGTAGGTATGGTTTGACACTGTTTTATAACGTTTTGTAAAACGGATAGGACAAAACAAGCCAGTGCTGGCTTCTGCTGCTGCCTCTCCGAAGATCTGAATAAAAAGGTTATCATACTCATTGCCACATATTACGTTCTAAAATAGGAACATTTACAACGCGGGATTGTTGGCTTATTTTTTATGTACCACACCATATATTTAAGGAGAGTAGGACATTTCCTCCACACTGACAGTCCCCTACTCGGACATTATCCCGTACTGACATTTCCTCACATTAAATATATTAATAATTTATATTACAGTTTCATTTACAGTTTGACAAACTATTATAATATAAACATGAAAAGTCATCATCACATGTCAAGTTCACTACATGTCACCAGCTGGAAGTGACATGGGAAATAGATTTTACTCTTTGTTCAGCTGTCCTTCATGTAAAGACACATTTTTGAAAGGATTACCCACAGAGAAAGACAGGATTAGAAATCGACATGCTATTACGTATTCACTACCAACGTCCTCTAATATTAAACTGATACCCTTGGTATCCCCTAATGAGATCATGTATACTTTGTCACACCCGGTAATTGTTAAGATCACAAATCCTATCTACAGCCAGGCAGTCTATACATGTTTCCAATTTCCTGTTATAATTAGTGGTGAATGCTAGAAAACACATCATGAAAGATGTCCTGAGACGCCTCCAAATGTCCACTTCATAATTCTTACAAAAAGTGATATTCTACAGTAATAACATTTGAAGGCTAATCCACAAATTCCATCGCATCAATTGTTACGGAGTGGTGACCAGCATTCGTATGTGCAAAAATTGCAAAAATCAAACTGCCGGGGATAGAATGCACTTTAAAGCGAGATGCAATCTTCTGTCGGATATTAGATATTCGTTAAGGAGGTATTCATAATAATAAAAATTATTATCGAAATAAAATCAACTAAATTATCATTTTTAAAGTCTTAAATATTCTAGATTATGTCCCTAACTTACGTTTAGCATCCGACAGTTATAGTTATAATTCACCCAATATGCTGCTGATAAGACAATAATATTTAAATGCGCCCCGGATTTAATCGGAGCATATGTTAACGTTGTATAGAGGTCTGACGTAAATTGACTATCGCTGTCTGTAAAGTGTGACCCTCATGACGCCCTTATTTATTGTCACCGTCTTACTTAAACCATTCGAGTGACTCCGGTTTTCATTTCGTGTGACGGTGAGGCATTAAAACATTCTTACACCCCTCACGTACTTTGACTGGTCTCGATAAACATATCAATACAAAGCTTATGTAATCGGTAACGATGTAGTCTCACTAACAGAACTAACAGACGGGCGCGAAGCTTTAATGACAATACCCTAATTACATCATGATATACATGACGATGAATGAGCGTCGACAGTCGGTTCAAATGTGAGCCTTTGTTGTCTATGCGTACGCTTATAGCACCTGGTCGGACCCGGCTTACTTTTATTAGAATGTCAGCCTTCGACCTGGTTGGTTGTTTGGGATCCTGTGGAGCTGAAACCTCTGCTCACCATTGTGAGCTTCGCTCACTTGCCTGTGAGACGGCCCCTATAATCCTCTATTGTTTTACCAATCAACACGCTTCATTGGCTATCGTTTTACAAAAACGCTTTTCGCAAAAGAGTGATTTGGTTTTCTTTTGACACTGTTTCTGGTAAATATTCCCTGGATAGAGAAGATATTGGCGACATGGGTTCCATGCATCGTTTGATATTTGTAAACAACTCAATTCATTAATTTGAGCTCGAACATGTTTAAGAAAGTAAGAGAGGTTCTGATTACTCGCGAGTGTGTTATCGGATTTGAATCACTGAAATCAGTGAGTGAGTTGTGTTTAAAGCCGCTAATCTCTAGCTTCTTCTCGGCAGTCTGACATTGGCCGCTTGGGCACACTAGCTGCCGTGAGTCGATTTTGCTCGCTAACGCAACTGAGCGTGACAAGAGACTAGGCTACCGTCTGCAAGGACAGCTAAATAAACTTGGAGGCAATATTTGTTTTACGCATTTTTCAACACTGATTGGTTACCCGTGATCTATGACGATTTGGACAAAGGGCGCATGTTAATAAATTTCTTCAGCCTAAACAAACAGACAAAAAGAACGACAGAAGCTCATCGGATGTCGTTATTTGGAAATACCCCTGGTGTATCCATGCAGTGAAAGCATTTTCGGATTTCGGATTGCGTGGGTAAACTACTCCCTTGTTGTCATCCATGTTTTCTGGTATAACCCTACACTTGTGTATTTGTCGTCATTCAATTGATGCTCAGTTAATTTATTACAGGTATAAGAACTGGAGGCACCACTCAGATTACCTGATAAAGGTTCCCATTAGGCATTTCGTGTGTCTGGGGTATTTATTCAATTCAAATCCAGGTTTAAACCGAATCCCGGTTTGAAGTGAGGTGAAATGTATGTTATATAATATGCCCGTTTCAGCCCTGCAAGAGGCGTGATCACCATCATTCCTCGCCATCAAATGATCAGCAGAAATTACGTTGATTGAATAATCACTATTATTTTGCACAGTGGATTTGTCAAAAGTAAGCGTTTACATGTGTATGCTTACTAAACAACATACTTTGTTCAAAGCCGATATAACATTGATTGATTGCTCATTGTTATCTAACTCAATGGATTTTTTTAAAGAACCGTGGACATTATGAAAAGAGTTGTCACGTGGGCTTTCTCAGCTGACCTTTGAGACTTGACACCTATGTGAAACAACTGAAACAAACTAAGTTATCAGTTGAGAAACCAAACACGGGTTATAATATCCCGAAACGATAAATATATTTTGAAATATTTGAGTGTTACAGAGACACGTGACATCCAATAAGTTTCTTTGTACAGCTGCAGATGTGTGGCATATTGTTCCTTTATGTGAATATTTACGGTTGCATTCCTCGAACAAGGCAGCTCACTAAAAATATACATATAACTTTGGTAGGTTGTAATTATGATATTTGCATTTTGTTTTCGTTCATTTGCTGTAGCATTGAACAGAATCATTCTTGTTCCTCTACGTCTTGGTTGGGAAGTTGTTCGATGCGCGGTAGACGTTGTTTTCACAAGTCTTTTCCTTTGTATGCGTGTATATGTTACAGGCAATGTGTAAAATATGATTCACTCAGGCATTTCAGGCGATTGACTGAAAAATCTGTTCATTTATTTAACAGATTGACTTAAAATGACTAAGACGGTCAAAAGGGCTTAAAAACATCACAATAGATTAATTATGCTGGGATTAGAATCCAAACAATATAGAAATGTACTTTTTATATCCTTACATTTTCAGTCACTTGGTGATGATATTAAACATAAAAATGTTTAGAATTCGTCATCATAATAATACAGATGGGCATATTTTTCAGTCAATTTGTGAAATAACTGAATATCTAGGCGTTTAATAAATTTCCTAAGTGAAACTTTTGCACATTTTGACTGTAAAAATATAAACACCATAAAATAAACAATGGGCAGGTGAATTTTTTTGTTTGTGTTGCAAGTCAAAATAGTGTAAACGAAAATCACACAATTACCAAGCAAGTGACTTATCAAAACACCGTCACCATTAATGATGCTACCCACAAAGATACCTACATTTCCTTATTATTTCCAAAACTGTATTTCATTTTGTTGATAAATGTGACCATTCGCCCTTATACTGTCAATAAAAGTGACAACTGCGCTTACGAATGGCGCAGCACAGGTCGCGAACTAGTCTTGATCTCTGCTATATCATCCGGGTACTCACGGGGAAAAACAATAACAAAGGCAACAACTCTCGGGGAATTGCTTTAGGTAATTGCCCATTTAACAGTATTCCAGTTATATCACGGCGTGTCAGCTTATGTGGGAGGAAAGCCCGAAGTGATGCAGGTCTCAGACGTTTACCATTTCGGTGAACCCCACGAGCACGGGTATGGTGCTGACAAACCTAGAAACTTAACTGGGGCGAACCGGGTTACGAACCCACAATCATAGGTTTCTGGCGTGCCCAAGGGACGCAAGTATGCACAGCGAATCGCAGCGCCTAAGACGAGTGGGCCACCCGTGCCCCCCACTGAAATCAAAATCGGGGCACCATGTTATAAATCCCGAAGACGTTCAAATAGCAGTTCATGGAAGATTTACATCTACTCATCAATTCTAAGAAAAGTACGTCTAATCAGAGACCATATAATATATGGTCTCTGGTCTAATTGATTAAAATTTCTCAATCATGTAAGTCTATGTAAGTCTATGTAAATACATACATGTATATTCTAGTGTCTTCCTCTAAAACACTAAACCAGCTCTTTCCTAAGTTTATTTCAGAAGCTTCGTATAAAGTTGTGTTATTTCAATGTGGTAACTGTACATGTATGTCTTTGACTTGCAAATACCTGACTTGCATTTGCATGTGTTTGTGGTGGTAACGCTCTAACCTGATTCATGAGTGTGATTCATTAACAGATGCTTATGATATAGTCGGAATGGAATGGAAAAGAAGTAAATTATGGAAATGGTTTTGTTTATTTTGTTTCCAATAAAAAGCGTATTCTTTTACAATGTTAATAATCGTCCACACATCAAGAACAAGTCACTGTGTAATACAAATACCTAACGACGTAATATTTGTGAAGGACTTCGTTTATCATAGGAAATCTTTAATAACCAAACGATTTTGTCCAGACTATTTCACATTATATTAAGAATGAAACTTATCACGAAACATTATGGGATACTAGACATGCACAAAACATTAGTTGGTTATGAGGTTGCCTGACTGTCATTTTGGCCGACACATGATTGTGTTTAATTCTGTTCTATCTTATTTGTTGCCGTGAAAATCACCTCAGCTATTGTGTGTACGAGTATTTGTGATTGGAGTCATGACCACAAGATCACCTTACATTTGCAGTCTAAATAAAGTATAGATATCGGTATTTGTAAAAGGAAAAGAAGCTTTACACCATGATCTTAAATAATGCAGACTAGCATGCCATGGAAAATATAACTCAAAATCAGTCAAGGAAAAACGTAATACAATACATTGTACCGTACATTTAGCACAACTGTCACAAGATAGCGTGACTATTCTGTCTCGAAAGTGTCTCGAAAGTGTCGTGATAGTGGCGTGAAAGTGGCGCGATAGTGCCGTGAAAGTGTCGCGAAAGTGCCGCGATCGTGTAAAATGTTATCGCGAAATGGCGCGAAAGTGTCTCGAAAGTGGCGCAATAGTTTCGCGTTAATGGCTCAAAGGTGGCGCGATAATTCCGCGTTAGTGCCGCAATAGTGGCGAGAAATTTTCGCGAAATTTTCGCGAAAATAGGGGAAGTTACTATGAAATGTAGTGTATGTGCTTGGCCTTTTCCCTCTTCAAGTGAGAATATCATGTTTATTGTATCATAAGTATAACTGTTCCACTCACCTTATTCTTAGATATAATATCAATAAATAATAACATAGTTTATACAAATAATTCAGCAATTCAGTTACTGAATGATCTATGTCAGAACTGAAAAACATACTGTCATTAAATCTGTGTGAACAAATTCTGATACTTCTTATGTTTACATTAAGGAGAAAAAACAACGCCAGTAATGTCAACAAGGAACACTCCATCTACGAAGACATATCAGCTATGGAACCAGACAGACACCAGGTGCAAGGTAAATAGAAGTGACACAACCCTTTCCAGAATCATAAGGAATCTCTGCTATAAATCTGAGTCCATTGTATGATTCCGTCTACATCATAAGCATGTGTTTATGATATCACCGTAAAACTGTGATGATACCAGGTGTTCGTGAATAGGTGAGGGCATCCTGAAGTAGTCTTCTGAACGTAGTCTCCGGTTCTCCTTAAGACAGGTAACGATCTTGCTCCTAGATAATGATAAAAGAAAGCCTGTACACAAAGATAGACTTGTTCAGCCCTAAAGGGAACGCATGTTGTTCTGCAGCATCCCAGCGAGTAAACAGAGACAAGGAGGAGGAGACTGAGATGGAGGAGATGGAGGAGGAGGCTGACAGAAGCTCTTACTACAACATCAAGGCTCCAGTTATAGTGACGGAAGTGGCTGTGGACAAGCTAGGGGACGGAATCAGAGAACTGCAGGCTACTGAAGGAGGATTCGAACAGGAATTCAAGGTAGAGCCTCATTTTATCTTCCAATACCCACGAACTCATGGAACATCAAGTCTGGCTATCAGGTTGCATGTCACAACACAACAGCGTAACACTGAGAGAATCACTATGAATGTCATTGATAAAGAGAGTGAATGAATGTGTCTCTAAGGATGTCACATGTCTTTTTGAGAGACGCTTTGTATCGTTTAATTATGCACGAACATGGAATGAAAGCCCATGGCATAAAGTTGATTTTCAGGATAAGTTTGCTTTTAAGAAACTGAATATGGGAATTCTATTATTCTTTCTAGCGGTTAATATCCGGATTCACACACCCATATGAAGATTCCAAACGTGAGGAAAACAACGGCAAGAACAGGTTCAGAGAGTATTATCCATGTGAGTATCTTACCACTGCATTGTGGACTACTGAAATGATAGAAAGAGGTCCTAACTGAACATATAGCTACGCAGGTTTGCATGAGATCAGCAAGAGTCAGTCAGTATATTCTCAGACTGAATGATACACTGCTTATTCTCAACCACAGATGACTACAACCGAGTTGTCCTTCAGAAGCTTCCAGGGGATCAATCATCCGACTACATCAACGCCAGCTATATCAATGTAAGATTCCAAAATATTATTCATCACGTAGTTTCATATGAAGGTCCATAGTAACTGACCACCTACTGTTTAATGTATTTTTGAATACCAAAATAATATTACTCAAATATACTACATATCGCATACGTTTAGTTTCTTATTTACCTCCGCACCCAGAAATATTAACGTATATGACGGCGGTCTGTAAATGCTTAAGTGAGGACGAGACCGTCAAGCGAATGATCTCCACAACTGGGATATGATGACAGGCATTAAACGAATATGAGATCCTGACAACTCGATCCCGTCAGTCAATCATGGGTTTGCAAAAGATTCTGATAATAACTGGTGCTGCTAGTAAAATGCAGGACGGCCGTGTTCTAGCTTACACATTAATGCACCTTAACACCATCCGTTATGTTAGAACCCATATTTGGCAGTCTGTTTGGATCACAGATATGGGGCATTTTTAAGATCATATTTGTGTAAATATGAATGATACATGTGCAGAAAGATGTTTTTAATGTTTGAACCATGTGACCTCTTCTAATTGGTATCTAGTTTATTCATATCATGCACAAACAACCCGTCTCCTCATTTTTTTTAAGCAATAAAACAAAACTGTTATTATGGCAGTTCTTGCAAAAGATAATAGAACATGGCAAATAACTCCTGATAACTTTGGCACTGTTTGTCATCCTAACATTGGAATGGGGCAAGGGTGCTGTTCACCCCCAAGGCCATCCAGAATCTAACGATGGCATGTGCGAGTCCCTGGATTTGTCAACAACTGTCCATGTACGTGGGTTTTACCAAAGTTGTTTGGTTTCTTGTCGAGTCTTCCTCCAACATTAAATTGACACCCGACGATACAGCTGAAATACCATTCAGCAATGTGTAAAGTTACTTACTAGCTTTCTTCGTTGCAATGGTTTGACCCCCCCCCCCCCCCCCCCCCCGCCGCCTCTCACGCCACACGCACACACGCACACACACAAAATGAACAACAAACAAGACAACAAACAAACAACTAAACAAACAACTAAACAAACAAAAAACAAAAACAATTCTAAAATATATAGCCATGATGGAGTGTGTTAATAGGCTCATAGGAGATCTATTATCTTAACATGCTTCCTACAGCTGCAATATATCATGACTTGCAGGTAGACCCGTGAAGATTCGGGGTAGAAAAGGTCTTCAACAACCCGTGCTTGCCATAAAAGGTTACAATGCTTGTCTAAAGAGGCGAATAACGGGATCTGGTGGTCAGGCTTGCTGACTTGGTTGATGCATGTCATCGATCCCAATTGCTTGGATGGATGCTCATGATATCAATCACTGTATTGTCTGGTCCAAACTCGATTACTTAGAGACCGCCGTCATATAGGTGGAATATTGCTGAGTGTGGCTGAAACAACAAACAAACAAACAAACTTGTAGATATATGCAAAGTCCTAAGTGGACATGTCTTTTACATTTTAGGGATACTCGATGGATCAAGCCTATATTGCAGCACAAGGTCAGATAATATATGAATACTTCAGAATTGTTTTGTACAGTATTATTATAGTGTTGACCTAACACGTATCTATATTTTCGTGTATTGATCAATATGAACAGTGAACATACCAATATCGCAAATCAGAATCATATGTTTGTGTTCGTCAGCACCAAACAAGAAAACTGTCGGGGATTTCTGGAGAATGTTCTACGAGAAGAACTTGACAAGGATCGTCATGCTGACAAACCTGACAGAGACAGGAAAGGTATGAGCAGATGGAATTGAGTTAGTTGTGGTGATGGAAATTATCTGCAGTTGTCACGGGTAGCTAAATAAACTGTTCAGAAGAGGTGGTACAATCTCTATCATCCGTTATGAAGAAGACAATGAGTCTTCGTTTTCAACCTCCTCATCACTAAACCATCGTATTTCAACTATCTCACATGAGTTCCACAGGACTAGCAGCTATTGATATACAGTACAGAGTAAGACACTCCAATGTTATATCATGGCACTAATATTATTGCACTGTCCAGGTGAAGTGTGTTCCCTATTGGTCAGACACGTCTGACCTCATTGTGGATGTCTTCACCATCTCCGTCACCAACATTAGCCACAGAGCTCACTGGGTGATCAGGGAACTCAAAGCGACTTTGAAAGAGGTAAACAAATTAAGTGAATCACAATCGTAGCAAAATACAGGGGAAATCGGCGAAACGCATTTTAGTCAAACTCTTAAGAACCAATGTTATGTTATCGACATATATGTTGTCAAGAGTTGTAAATTGCATGTAATTCTACAGACCGGCGAGAGTAGGCTGTTTCACCATTTCCACTACACAAAATGGCCAGATCATGGAACTCCAGAGGAAACAGCACTGATGGAGTTTCTTTGGAGAATAAGAAAGACACCAAGCCCTCACAATACGCCTATGATGGTGCACTGCAGGTATGTGCTTGTGTATGACACCAAGTGTGCTATAGCACTTAATGTAGAATCATGTTTACCTCAAGGTAATCATGTATAAATCTTTGATTCTTGCCTATGCGTGAATATAAGTCTGATAAGTCTAGTACAGTTTATTTTTATCCCTGAATTAAAGAAAAGTTTACTTCAATGACAGCATTATTTGTATAATATTTACAGAGCTCCTTCAGTTTTCGTTTCACACAATACACGTCCTTTCCTCTCCAGTGCTGGGGTCGGTCGGACAGGGACGTACATCGCTGTGGACTACCTGCTGGACCAGGCCCTGACTGACCGGAAGGTGGACGTGTTCGGGTTTGTGAATCTGATGCGACAGCAGCGGAGAAATATGATACAGACCAAGGTATGTGACAAGCGACATAATTTATGTTGCCTGGTCATATACATATCTCCATATTTCATCATTATCTAGCGAGCAACAAAGCATCATGGTTTACATTGTAGGAGCAGTACGCATGCGTGTACACGACTCTACATGAGGCACTGATGATGGGTGACACGACCTTGACCTCACCCGAATTCAGGACACAAAGACGAGCAAATAAGGTGTTCAAGATGGGGACGGCGACAGTGTCTCAGATGATGAAGGTGCGTGCTTCTCGTGTTTATTTAATTCTCTTCCAACACTGATATAGAAAGTTAAATGAAGAATGTGTATCTTTGACGTTGTACCCTGATCGTAGTTAGGAATGCATTAAAAAATAGTAGGGTATTAGATGTCACAACAGTTGTTTCAGATGTCAGCCTCAGTAATACGCCAGTTGTAAGATCTGATGTAATGAATACGATAAACGGATATGTACGTGCTGTTGATATTTTTAACATTGTCAGGATGTGTATGTGTGTGCGTGCGTGTGCGTGTGTGTGTGTTTGTGTGAGTGTGTGAGTGTGTGAGAGAGAGATAGAGTGTGTGTGTGTACATGTGTGTGTGTGTGTGTGTGTGTGTGTGTGTGTGTGTGTGTGTCACAATATGCTTGTTACAATAATATTTACAAAATCATAAGAGGTCTCTACCAAAATCGGAGTCCATTGTACGATTCCAAGTATATTATAACTATGGGTTTATGAATCATATCAAATAAGATTAGGGGCGGTCGGGTAGCCTGGTGGTTAAGCGTTGGCTCGTCACGCCGAAGACCCAGGTTCGATTCCCGACATGGGTACAATGTGTGAAGCCCATTTCTGGTGTCCTCCGCCGTGATATTGCTGGAATAATGCTAAAAGCGGCGTAAAAGCATACTCACTCAAACAAAATTAATGTTAGCTTATATGTACATTTCTGTTCCGCTTTCTGTTTCGTTCTGAGTGCAGTACTTCTGTTTTGCCTACTGAGATGGTCCCGTTCCAATTATCTGCCGTCGCACAGTATATACAGTGTTGTAACTCACGACATTGATCCACCCCAGCAATACATGTAGTACATCGAAGACATCATATGTGCCATTTGTCTTCTTTACAGCAAGTTAAAGTCAGCATCGAAGAACTTAAATCTGGTGAGAACATTTTCCCTGGGCTGAGAATGCAATGTACCTGAACACCGATACCGGGATTGGAACGGAGCATTATGTGAATGGTTTTTAGCATTCCCCTCCAGTAGTCATGTGATAAATAAATGGGTAATCATATTGCCCAAGTGCCACAAGTGAGTGAGTCCGGTGATGCAGAAAGTGATGCATGTCTTGTTAATGCAAATGCAGGCCATGGTTACCCTTCCCAGAACACCCGTGAAGATTCGGGTTAGGATAGGTCTTCAGCAACCCATGCTTGCCGTAAAAAGGCGACTATGCTTGTCGTAAGAGGCGACTTACGGGATCGGGGGGTCAGGCTCGCTGACTTGGTTGAAGCATGTCATCGATCCCAATTGCGTGGATCGATGCTCAAGATATCAATCACTGTATTGTCTGGTACGGACTCGAGTTGTTACAGACCGCCGTCATATAGGTGGAATATTGCTGAGTGCGGCGTAAAACAACAAACCAACCAACCAACAAACATCTGATGTCACATAATTTAACCGCTATTTAGCCCTTTATGCCTAGTGGAATACGTTTTCGGAACAATCGAGACTGGACTGGCGTTGACGTTATATATTTGGACGTTTATATAAAGTCGATGAAATCCAAGAAATCAAATCGGGGAATCAGGCATTCAGATCCACAAAGAGGTTTCTGGCACGTCTAATCGACGTAACACTGTGAAGCGAATTGCGGTCCCTTGGACGACCAATCCACCTGTGCCGCTCCTGAACCTTTAACTGACTTATCAACATACTTAATTTAAATATACACTTGATTGATCAACACATCAGTCGTTCTTAAGGAAACATCCATTGTTAGAAAACCACACTCTTTGTCCAATCATGTCTTTCTGTTTGATAGCTGGGCGCATCAAAGGTCAGGTTTGGGTGAACGGACGGACAGACATCCTAGCTGTGATGATGCCTGTAAGTATAGGGACTCACCTGTTAGCCACACATAGGTACAGTATGCGCATTATATGTTCCATAAGCTTGCCAAAATTGGTAACTATGTTCAATTTACTTACCTCTAGGGAATTGATTTATGAGTTATCTGTATTTGTACTCACTGTATTTAATGTAACATGTCAATGGTTGTTCTTCATATGGACAGAGTCTTGTATTTGTCTTCTTCAGTCCCACCTGTCAGCGAATGGCTACCTGTTAACTGAGGCCCCCTCCGTCACCACGGCGTCTCTGTTCTGGAAACTCACAGAGGAACAGGAGTCTTCCACTGTCCTTGTCCTGCCAGACTCACATCAGGTGGGTAGAATGATACCCGACTCAGACACAGTGTCCTGACTGTGAGCCAAGTAGTCCTTGTTTTAGCCCCTTAATACCGAGCGCCAGACGGGGTAACAGCAAGTACCTTCTTTTAACGTGTTTTGGTATGACGCGGACGGTGATCGAACCCAGGATCTTCCGCTCTCTGGGTGGACGCTCTACCACTAGACCACATGTACGGTCTAGAACGTTTTAGAAACTGTTATTTGAATTAATTGAATATATATATATGTGTGTGTGGAAATGTCAATATTTCAGCGTCTGGACAGCTTCATGCCACTTCCAGGAGACAGCCTGGACTCGAGTACTGTGATCGTGGGTTGTTCTACTGAGACCTCACTCAACTCTGACATCATCCTCAGGAAAGTCGACAGACAGATGGAGGTAGGCCGTTTTGGATGCTTCTACTTTACTTATAAGAGAAAGGAACATGAGACCCCTAGATCTACTTTAACATAGTGTTTCCAAAATTGACAAATGCTTTACAAAGAAACTCTTGTGTTTGCAGGGCAGTGCCTCTTCCCAGCTGGTACATGTGTATCTCATGACGACCTTCCGGAAAGATGATTATTCCAGTCTGTTTGACCTCCTGGACCAAGTTGACCGCAAAATAGAGGGAAATAACTCTCAGCCAATAACAGTTATATTCAGGTTGAATATATTTAAATATGTATCATTATCAAATGTTTCCTAAATTACATACAGCGTAAATATGTAAATCTGAAGTATTAATTATCTATATTTGCTTCCGGGTAAAAAATATGTTATAGGCACACTGAGGATGTTTATTGAACTGTTTCTCTATCAGTGAAAATGAACGACGATCAGCCACGTTGTTCTGCATCCTGAGTAACATCGTGCAGGGCATGACACACGACAATGCGGTGGAGATCTACAACAACATCCGAAAGTTGGGACATTTGTGTGACAATGATCTCTCGCAGGTAGGAATCAGAATAGATCTAAACCAAAGTAAACATCACTTATATCTTAGAAGTAATATTTGTGTTATGTAAGATTTCGCCTATTTGGCACGCCAGAAACATGTGCTTGCTGGCGCCACTAAAGTGTACACGTCATATCTGCATCACATCACACACCGCGATGTCACTGTATACTGCCCAAGGCTACAGTGAACCAAGCTCACAACAAATGTTCGTGTAAGATATAGGTAACTGCAATGTCAAATCCAAAGACGCGAAATATATCCTTGTATATAACAGACCATAAGATGCACTTCTAAGATGCACTTCTATGACGACTACCTAAACTGAATACATTAGGCCTGACAATAAGCTCATGACTATGTACCTACATGTTTACTTATGAATGCATGACACCGTGGCTTTATGTTCCAGGCTGACGTCTCCCTGTGTTATGACCTGGCCTCTGCCTATCTGGAGACACAGAGTGTTTACGCCAACATGTGATGGCAACCCGCACTGTCCACACTGAACCTGTCGATCAATGCTATTAGTCTCTGCCTATCTGGAGACATATGATGTTATGCCAACATGTGATGGCAACCCGCACTATCCACACTGAACCTGTCGATCAATGCTATTAGTCTCTGCCTATCTGGAGACATATAATGTTACGCCAACATCTCATGGGAGACCATCTCTACTCCCAACGTATGACACACGTACCCACACTGAACCTGTCCATCAATACTACAGATCATGTATATTCACACTGAATCTGTCCATCAAAAACTAATTACCAAGTATACCCACACTGAACCTGCCCATCAATACTTATGACCAAGTATACTCACACTGAACCTGCCCATCAATACTTATGACCAAGTATACTCACACTGAACCTGTCCATCAATACTTATGACCAAGTTTACTCACACTGAACCTGTCCATCAATACTTATGACCAAGTATACTCACACTGAACCTGCCCATCAATACTTATGACCAAGTATACTCACACTGAAGCTGTCCATCAATACTTATGACCAAGTATACTCACACTGAACCTGCCCATCAATACTTATGACCAAGTATACTCACACTGAACCTGTCCATCAATACTTATGACCAAGTATACCCACACTGAACCTGCCCATCAATACTTATGACCAAGTATACCCACACTGAACCTGCCCATCAATAGTTATGACCAAGTATACCCACACTGAACCTAGCCATCAATACGTATGACCAAGTATACTCACACTGAACCTGTCGACCAATACCAATGGCCACGTATATCCACACTGAACCTACCCATCAATAGTATTAGTCCCTACCTGTCTAGAGACAAAGAATGCATATGAAACAAATCAGATCTCCTGACACAATATATTTACAATATACCCTTCCATCATTACAGCTGACTTGTCAGGATCGACACATAGGGACATATTGTAACCATCTCCTTCAAAGAGAATGAAGTCATCAACAGTGGTACAAAATATAATGAAATGAAATGCAATGTAACACATTACAGCCCTTAACTTTGCGATCGTATAATGTGATTTTCACCTTTATTTGAAAGTCATGTATTTTATATAATGCATGGAGAAACATTACCGCCCATCTGTTATATCTCGTATATCACTCTCATCATTTTGATTATGTTATGACAAATGCAATGAACAGTGGTTATGAAAAATTTATTTAAAATGAATGAGTTTTATTCATATGTACATTTAAAAAGCATGCACTAAGTAGGCGCTATTAAGAGCAATTTAGTTTAAGAATATTACCATGACGTGAGTAATATTGTTACTATCATTTTGAATGACTGTATAACATGTCTCATCTTTAACTTTGTAACATTCTTCATTAGAATATAGATTCAGCTTATATTCTAACTGTAATGTTAGGTTTGATATTTAAATGCCAAGGATTTTGATTTGACAGAAATATTTCAGCACTGCAGTGATCCCACTGTACTTGCGTATCTATAAACTACGACGCTCCTTTTCACAGAGTATTTTTACAACCATCAAGCTTATACAGACCATGTACTTTTGTGGCAGTGCCAAATCCATATGGTCAAAGTCAACATTTTGCATCCGTGATCTTTTTGAGCACAAAATCATTGAATATATTTATATTTCGATGTTGATTGTATACTGTATTTTTGTTATTGTTTTATTTGATATATTTTTGTTGCATTTTACTTAATTTTTGTAAATGTATTCTTTGGCTTCTTGTCCATATATACGAGGTGAATCTGTCTGTGAAACACAAATTTAGAACAAGGTGGACATTTAAAATGCGTCCAATGGACAAACTATCAATCAAAAAGAACACTCTTGCTGTGATATCTTTGTACATATTATGATTATTAATGTATAGTGAATTACATCAGTTCGGGACTGGGTGGAGAGGCTCGCTGACTTGATTGATTCATGACATCTTATTCGATCACTGGATTGTCTGGTCCAGGTCCGATTATTTATAGACCGTTGTCATATAAGTAGAATACTGCTGAGTGCGGCCTTAAACATTAAACAAACAAAACATCAGTTTTGACATGTGGCACGTACGCACGTATGTGTACAGTCTTTCTCTTCTATTAATTCGAGCATTTAAGGAACTCTCACCAGTCTTCATCTTGATATTTAGTATGCCAACATGCTCTTCGCTTCTTATGGCTTCTGTTCGTTAGTATAAGCTGCTTCAACACCTTTGAGAAACTGACAAACAGGTGCAGTGCCCTGATGTCCTGTCATCTCCCCAAGGAGGGAGCCTGTCGTGTGGACCTTGCTCGCAATGACTGCGTCATCTCCCCATGGAGGGAGCCTGTCGCGTGGACCTTGCTCCCAATGAGTGCGTCATCTCCCCAAGGAGGGAGCCTGTCGTGTGGACCTTGCTCGCAATGACTGCGTCATCTCCCCATGGAGGGAGCCTGTCGCGTGGACCTTGCTCCCAATGAGTGCGTCATCTCCCCAAGGAGGGAACCTGTCACGTGGACCTTGCTCCCAATGAGTGTGTCATCTCCCCATGGAGGGAGCCTGTCGCGTGGACCTTGCTCCCAATGAGTGCGTCATCTCCCCTAGGAGTGAGCCTGTCGCGTGGACCTTGCTCCCAATGAGTGCGTCATCTCCCCAAGAAGGAAGCCTGTCGCGTAGACCTTGCTCACAATGAGTGCGTCATCTCCCCATGGAGGGAGCCTGTCGCGTGGACCTTGCTCCCAATGAGTGCGTCATCTCCCCATGGAGGGAGCCTGTCGCGTGGACCTTGCACACAATGAGTGCGTCATCTCCCCATTGAGGGAGCCAGTCGTGTGGACCTTGCTCACAATGAGTGCGTCATCTCCCAATGGAGTGAGCCTGTCGCATGGACCTTGCTCCCAATGAGTGCGTCATCTCCCCATTGAGGGAGCCTGTCGCGTGAACCTTGCTCACCATGAGTGCGTCATCTCCCCATGGAGTGAGCCTGTTGCATGGACCTTGCTCGCAATGAGTGCGTCATTTCCGCAAGGAGGGAGGCTGTCACGTGGACCTTGCTCGCAATGAGTTCGTCACCTCTCCAAGGAGGGAGCCTGTCGCGTGAACCTTGCTCCCAATGAGTGCGTCATCTCTCCAAGGAGGGAGCCTGTCGCGTGGACCTTGCTCACCATGAGTGCGTCATCTCCCCAAGGAGTGAGCCTGTTGCATGGACCTTGCTCGCAATGCTTGCGTCATTTCCGCAAGGAGGGAGGCTGTCACGTGGACCTTGCTCGCAATGAGTTCGTCACCTCTCCAAGGAGGGAGCCTGTCGCGTGAACCTTGCTCCCAATGAGTGCGTCATCTCTCCAAGGAGGGAGCCTGTCGCGTGGACCTTGCTCGCAATGAGTACTCGATGTTTGTTTGCTTCTATATCAAGCTGTAATGTCTTTCTCACTAAATCACGGAAAAACATTATTCTCGAAGCTTTTAGGACATATACGCTAGAGATTTATGCACAGTTACCTGTTTTTAATAATGCTCTGAAATGTACAACACTTAATTTGTCGTTTTGCAGTATAATATCCGGTTTTAGTGTACTCAGAATATTGTTTTATGTTAATGATAAACATATGCAAATTAATAAAATTTTAATTCCTATTTTCATATCCAACTTAGTTGTTATTTTCCCGTGTGTTTTCGGGTGAACAAAAGACCTTGCTTTGCAAGTGTTTTTGACGTGCCACCGGCGGAACAGGATAAACTCGACTTTTCGCGAACACCTGCTATTATAACTATTTGATAGTGATTAAAAGCATTCTCATGCTATAGTCGGAATGCACAATCAACTCTTTTGGGGCAGAGATCTCTTATTAATATTGAAAGAGTTGTGTCACGGTTATTATTATGTATGAACTGTTGATGTCACGTCTGCCAACAACTACAACAGTGTAAGTTTTGTTAATGAACATTGTTACTGGCTCGTTGGCTGGTCCTATTCTTGCGACAGAGATGCTCATTTGGGAAACCTTAACATACACATCCACCTTCTATTCCACATTCCACCATGAGATTGAAGAATGCTCGATTCCGATTGGTTTAAAAGAGGATCCCATTTTGCAAAAGAAGCATCGTTTAAATATATTAAGCCTTTTCACACTAAAACCGTGCGTATGAATACATATAAAGCCTATATAGAGATTGATAAAAAATGGCTGCCGATCGATCACCCATAAGAAGTGTATACCATATCGATGAATCGATATATATTAGATGCTGGGTTTCTAATACACGGGTCAAAGTCTCTCGAGAAATTAGTAGGCTCCCGAGTCTTTAACAGACGAAGTACGGTACGTTTCATAGGTATTGGGCGTGTTTTGCGTAGAATTTGACATCCTACGACATAAACCTGATTGCTTCGATGATGAGATTACAAGACTCAACAAAGCCATGTCATTGGGGGACATGTTCGGTGGCACTGAAACAAACGATAATGTTAGTAAAATATATCATTATAAAATAGTGTTTAAAACAACTTTATTCATGACAACATGTTGTTTGCAAACCTTGGGGGGCTCGATAGTAAATGCGATCTCCGTTTGGAATTTGGCAGAAGGGGATTTGAAAGTCCATCCTTCCTTCGAGGGGCCATAAAAAAGTTAATCGTAAACAAATGTCCCAACATCACTGAAGTCACAGCAGAGACACTTGATCACAACAGAATGTTGTTATTCGACGCGCAGAATACATACTTTAGTAAAGCTTGAAAAAGGTTTATGGTAGTCACTCGGAGGATATTTAAAATTTTGACGCACCAGTAACACAAATAATGTAGAATGTAGAATGCATAACCCTATTTTAACCATATCTTCCCTGTATTGTTTTGGGTGAACACTGGATTTGCCTTGCGTGTGTTATGGTGGATGCCACTGGTGGGCAAAGTTCCGCTCACCTTTTCGCGAATACCTGGCATCATCACCGTTTGATAGGAACCAGGCATTTGATCTTTGACATTTTGAAGTAGTCAGAATCAAACCATTTAAGTGTTGTTAGCATATAGTTCTAATGATTATGGAAAGGGTTTTTGTCGCTTTTAGTTACCTTAATAAAGTACATGTATGTAGGCTGTTTAAAGTTACTTTGTAACACGCATTATCACGGAGAGAAAAAAACCTAATCCATACTGCCGCTCTTGTTTGCAGACAGAATATGTGTTTACTTTGTATTTACTACTGCAACAGTCTGTGTATTTACATGTCAAGCAGGTGATTTTGTAAATCAAAAATACATTCTGCACATGTTCGTGCCGTGTGTACCATTCACGCCATTAACAATGCACATATGTGTGTTTATAATACCGAAAACAAGTAACATAAAGCCACTGACAAAATACATATCTGAAAACAGGAGACAGAGCCACATGCTTCAGGCCAGGCAGCGGTGGTGCATTGAAGACACCAGATGACTGAAAACAGCCTGGAGAATGTCGTTGCAAATGTCAACCAAAGATTTGGTTTGGTCCTGTTGTAGGCGTCGTTCCTTCTCATCTTAGACATAATCTATTGGGGATAAGTTACGTTGTCATGCACCACACAATAACAACAAGCAACATGCGACCAGTAATCAGTCAGACCTGTCGTAAAGATGAGACAAAAACTGAAACGTCCAAAAATCACGAAAACAAATTCATTGTCCAAAAAACCCAATTCTTAGTAGCACGTACATGTATGTCATCCATGTGTTGCGATGACACTCAGCACCGTCGTCTCAGGCTCATAAATGTGGTTACCAAAGGGAAGATCATTGTCAAGTTCCAGTAGAGTTGCAGAAAGATGAGGGCGTCATGAGAGTTTGATCTGCAGCTCTTTCCAAATGAATCCGATGGGGTTCAGGTCGTGTGAATGTCATCCCTGGTGCACATACCTTTTACCGTGCCCTGCTGTAAGACATGGGGATCGCTTTGTCCAGCTCTACTGATCCCATCCCAAAATAGGATTAAGCACATATCAAACATTTTTAGCTATGTTGGAATCCTTAAAGTATCTTCTTGTCTGTGCTGTACTCGGGCGCGACGATTTGTGAAGATAAACAATATCTCGATTTACTAGTGAAAAGTACTGAAGCACAGTCTATTTGACGTGATTTTCTGCCCAATTCAAATGTTCGTGCATGTGATGTCAGGTCAATTGGATGCGAATGCATGCCCTCAGTGACCCGAGTCCGGCCCCAAGGAGACTATTACGTTTAAGTCACTGGCGTTCCGCAGGTCATGTGTGAGTGTGGTGGCAGTTATGAAGTGATGAAGTTCAGCTGTGAGAACGTCCTGCATGCTGCTTAGAAGCTTATCCAAACGTGTGGTATCGATTCCATGCCCTAAGTACTTGAATCTGTACTTTACTGAGAAAGTGTTATCCCAAATATAACATTTGATATATTTGACCACTTTCTAAACGGCTCTGTGTGTTCATAGCTTTTGGCCATAGGAGCCGTACCAAGTTACAATTGTCAGAGGGGTACACAAAGTACATGGGTTGGAATCCCAAACTTTACTAAGAACGTTTTATCCCAAATATAACGATTGTTACTTTATTTGTTTGATATCATCAAAACTTGATCCTCAGCAAACTTTGAGTAGTATAGTATATATGAAATTAACAACACGGAGGTACGCTCGGCTAGTTATCTGTATAAATACCACTCGTGTGAAGATGGCGATACCACCAGCATAATATTTCATGCACAGCATAAACGCAACCATTCCTAGTTTAAAGGATAAACACTTCTGACATTGTGTATAGGCTGGTCACGGTCGAATGTTTGTTTCTGTGTCATAATCCTAGTCACAGAACTATTACAAACCGTTGGTGCCAGCATAATTCAATAATGCTCAGGAAATATTTTCAAACATTTCACAATGGTTGCTCTAGAAACTAACCAGCCTCATTCTTTCACTACCTGACACTACCTTTTCAGAGTGGCCATCTCTATAACTGTCTTGATTTCATCTTTAGTATCACATATACACTGTGGGTTTTTAAATGGATAATTAACATTAGACCATCCATATTAAAAAGAAAACGTGTAGGCATGGAACTGTATGCAGTGACCTAACTACAGGAGTTATTGTTATTTTAAGCCTCATATATCACTGGCCTTAAGATGATACATGCATGTCTAGTAGCTGTGTAAGGCACTTCGTTGTTGAGGCAGGTAGGTACTTTGTTGTACTGCGGTGTAGTCTAGCAGTTGACACGTTACAGCAATACAGTTAAAGTGACAAAACCTTTTTCCATATCTATTAGAGATATCTGCCAAAAGCAGAGTCGATGGTCGACTGTATGATTCCGACTATATTCACTGGAAACACAATGGAGAAGCACCTGGGGACCGCGGTCTTGTTGGTGGTCTTTCTTGGACAGTGTTCATGTAAGTTGAACTTGTATATATTTTCACATCTGAATGTCAATGTATAAACATTCGGTTATGTATGTATAGTTATGGCGCATTTTGGGAGAGATCAAGATTATGTCCTGCATTTCTGAAAGAAGGTGAACGCTACATGTATATCGTTGAAACATATATCCTAAAGTGTGAGAAATATTGTGCTGTGACGTATTGACGGACAATTTCCACCAAACTAGTACATACACTTTATGACCGCAAATGCACACGAGCCGCTTAATCCTAAATCCATAAATACTTTGCGGGGTCGAGTTAAAGGCCGGCAAAGCATTAGGAGTGGTTGTTATTATACAAACACATATCAGATTACTAGTTGCTGAGCAAATAGAGTAAAAAGACGAACATGATCCGTGGCTTGTTTCATCATAGAATACACAATTGTGTTTACTTGTTTACTTGTGCACACTTTAAGTAATATAACACCTTCATACAATTTCAGTAGCATTAGTGCATTTAGAGGTATTATATTTCTATGAGAAAGGTGAACACAATATCGTTACAACATAACAACTTGTAATCTATCACATTCCATGTTCGTTTAGTAACAGAAGTATTCTACTGTGACATATTGACACAACAGTTTTCACCAAACTAGTTCAACCGCGTTGTGACCTCAACTGTACACGAGCCCCCCAATCCTAAATCAGCATACACTTCTAGCGGGGCCGAGATAACGGCTGCGTTAGGGTGGTTGTCAATAAACAAATACATATGAGATCAATAGTTGCTGGGCAAATATACATACACTTGTTTTATGATCTGAGGCTTCATTCACTGTGGAATTTAGAAACGTGCTTAACTGTTGACACAGTAAAGTACTATGCACCCACACAAGAATTAATAAAAACTTCAGTTGACAATAAGAATAGTGTTATGCATGTATATATGGTCTTAAGGGTGTATACACGGGGACTCGTAATTTTGGAGATAACACAAGCAAGTATTTGCAAATATTGACAGCACAGTCTTAGAGTCACCCGCGCGTTCTTCCATTAATAGTTCCATTCAAAAACATTGTTTGTATTGCCAGTGAGGTAGAGTGCCTGGTAATGCACTTGTGATCATTATGAAAATTTGGTTTGAGATAGTGTACAAAAAACTTATCGGTTTCTCCAATGAGGAATTTAAATGTAAGGCTTTCATAAGAAACAGAGACAGCATTGAGATGGGTATCAATCAAACGTCATATACACGTAAATATTTCAGGGCAATGGCCACATGACAAAACTGAACTCGCGATACATTCATGAAAACCTAGAAAGAATGCATATAACCTTGATAACACGTACATATGTAATGGCGAAGTTGATATAACAGGCATTATAGACAAGGCATGGCGGATTAAAGGTATGTCAGTTTACACCCTACTAGTTAAAGTACAACACCTTGGAATGGTCAACCATGTAACCCTGTACAGTGCCGTCCTACGTCACTCTTGCTTGACATAGGTAGGAGGATACATACGAAACTTTGGGTCATAATAGAATAATGAAGTTGTCATCCATAAAATATTTTGTCTCTACGATGACAGGCTGGGAGGTGCAGAGGTGCACGAGTTACATATATGTCCTAATTTGGTGAAGTGTGAGAATATTTCATGTTACTGGTTTGATTCTGTGGAATTATTAATGCATATCAATAATACGTCTCACTGTTTGTTCAGGTAGGAAGCTAGTATCCTTTGAGTGCCTAGTAGTTTATTCATACAAGACATTGGTAAACGTGTGTGCATTTGTTTGTTGGTTGTTTAACGTCGCACTCAGCAATATTCAAGCTAAATGACGACAGTCTGTAAACAATCTAATCTGGACCAGACCATCCAGTTACTGGCTTCCTGAGCATCGATTTACGCAAATGGGATACGATGACATGCATCAACCATGTCAGCGAACCCGACCACCCGATACAGTCAGTCGGCTCTTTCGACAAGCATTGGTTGCTGAAGACCCATTCGAACCCGAATCTCCCATAGTAAACGTATGGCTTGATGGGATGTAAACTAATACTTGGAGCCACGACGTATTTGCGTCCCACGAGAAAATATTCAATGATTTGCATTTTCCATTTAAATGAAACGCCGAAACATATGATACATTATGCTAATATTTCGAGAAGACCGTTATACGTTTATTCTAGTAACAATCATTTCAGTAGTCAGCGGGAGTAACTCTAACTTAAGACTTTAAGTCAAGTACATGGTTAACATTTTAAACATTTTGGAGTGTATTTAGTCTGCCTAAAAGTAAATCTTTCACGGATAAATGCATTTAATTTTATCATTTTATCTAACTTTCCATTTGTATGGTAAAATCCACCGTAATTATCAATAGTATTTCAAGTAATTGTAAAAGCACATGGCAGTTACATTTCTTTATCAACTCCAAAAGAAATGTTGGGCCGAGACATTAGAACTACCCACACTGTGTTGCAATGGTAACATAGTTCTTAAACGTTTCTGTTTATTTATAAGCAACATAATATTTACACTTGAATACACCAGATGTAATTCAATATTAACATATCGTTTTTAGTTTCAACAAAATCAATAATTGCGCTATCATGTCACTGTACTTTCTGGTCCGTCACTTGCTTGTCTGGTTTGTTTACAGGACGCCGTCGTTTGGCCATCGGGACAGCTGATGTCATCACTGCTTTTCAGTATCCATTCATATAATCGTCATCGCTTGTTTACCTTTTACACACAATGGAATCCGTTTTGGCGGATAGTCTGGTTATTCTGTTGTGCTGACGTGTCATGCTTACACAGATATATGCTGTAACAGTTCGGGACCTATGCAGGATTGTACCTCACCAGAAACCAAGGACACCAGGGACAGTGTTTAATGTGGAACCGTCAGTGTTTCTAATATAATACTTCTGCTGCAGTTACCAGTGTTACCAGTGTCATTGTCTTTTAGTGATGTAATATTTATGTTGCAGTCAGCTGCCCTAATTGTACATACGGTTGGTTATCAGTGTCACTGTATATATCTGGGAGAATAGTACCGTTAGAGGCATCCGTTCGGATGGTACATACAGCTACCAGTGTCACTGTCTATATCTGGGAGAATAGTACTGTTAGAGGCATCCGTTCGGATGGTACATACAGCTACCAGTGTCACTGTCCACCTCTGATATAATACTTCTGTTAGAGGCAGCTGTCCTAACGGTACATACGGATACCAGTGTCACTGTCTATCTGTGATATAATACTTCTGTTACAGGCAGCTGATCTGACGGTACATAGGGCTACCAGTTCACTGTCTTTTACTGATATAATACTTCTGTTACAGGCAGCTGTCCTAACGGTACATACGGCTACCAGTGTCACTGTCTATATCTGCTAAATACTTCTGCTACAGGCAGCTGCCCTACCGGTACATACGGATACCAGTGTGGCTACAGATGTAACTGTGACCAAGACAAGTGTGATTCTACTTACGGCTGCAGTCCACAAGCCTGTTACCCAGGATCAGAAACGCATGTAACTACAGCAGCATAACTGACTACTGACATCGTATTGACTCTGGATACTCATTCATACTGACCACACAGAGGTGTTAAATCACAAACACATTTCTCGGCTTTCAACAACTGATTCAGTAATGTCATATATCTTCTGCTTTGCGCTAACTAACGGGTCACATACGTCTAGTCATTCTTATCTCCTGATTAAGGTATCTAATCATTCAAAGGTAAAACGTTGTGTTATCACTGTGACATTTACACTGTCCCATGAACCTAGGTTCTTCAATCTGATGGTTCTATTTTGATTTTACAGATTTTTAATTGCAGCAGAAATACGAATTTGGATGAAACAGACCTTGCCATTTTTATTCGGAAGTGATCTACAGACGTTATACCCTGACAATCAGTCAATATTCTGCAATTATGCACACATCCATATATTTGACATGCTCATTGTTACGAACACCCTCAGTTTCGGAACTAGAGGAGCTTCTTTGCCTCGAAGTATGTTCGAATGATATACGACGCCACCTCCTGGACCAAGCTCCGATCAACATAGTCGTTTTGATATCATAGTTCAAGGTAGAATGGGTTCAGGGTGTGGCGCCTTACCTAATGTCACTAGTCACATGTATTTTTGTATCTTATGGCATTATTGATAACAAAAACAAAAACATAAGACCTATATGAAAGCATGTTGAGGGCCTTGACCTGGTGCAGGGCGGGGTGGTCATGTGCCCCCATTCCCAATACCACTCAACATTTTCACCTATGTTCGCATTGTAACATTGTTGCATTTTGAGAAACATTTCTTATCTATTACCAGAGGCATATGTAGTAAGTTATGGTTCTCCTCCCTTTCCATGTCCAATGAAACGGTCTCAAATATCACTTTGTTGGTGTGAATTTCACAAAGCGAAAAAATTTTTTTGTATATCTATTACACTTATTTTCGCATCCCCCTTAACAACGGGTTCAAGTCGATTAAGGTATACAGGTGGCCCAATCATCACCTGTGGGTTTGAATCCCAGATTCGCGCTGAGTGTTTCAATGAGTACGATCCCCGTGCTTCACCAAAGTGTACACCAAAGTGTACTATTTGCACCACTTTTGTCATCCTCCCTCTTCAAGTGGACATGCCATCTTATTATTGAAAAATGTTCATACCTCACTACTGAATGTATGTGATGTGATTATTTTCAGAATTGCTCAGATGCTGAGTTGTGATCATACACTGTAATGCATGGTCCTCAGGGAGTTGAGAATGCCCATTGGGTAAAAGTGTTAGTCCTATTCTAGTTCTGTTCAAAGCAAATTTATCCAAACTAAAATTGATATCTCACAATAATATATTCTACAATAGCTTTTTTATTTAATACATCAACCTTCGGACAACAGACTTTAAGTTAGCTCCCGTTAAGGGAAGTATGCACACAATGTTGTGACTTTGAACCCAGGGTGCATTCATGTTTTGTTCGAACATACCAAATATACAGTAGTGTGACAATATGACAATTTAATCATGACTGCATGCTTCCAATATTTTAACAAATCACAACATTGCGACAATATGAAAATGCTGCCCCATCTCATTGTTTGCCTTGCCTAAATGAAACTTTATTAAAACAATAATATTTATTTGAGCGGTCTGCATCTAGATAATGCATTTTCCAGATAATGTTGCAAGGAATCATGCTACATCATCCAATGGAGATTCTTTCCCGTCATCCCGTGCCACGGACGGAAGCAATGCTGCACACGGGTATACAGTCCGTATAGAGACAAACCCCAGCAATCCCAGCTGGTGGCGTGTGGATCTCAATGACACAGTGTTGATACGTGAGGTCACCATCTACTTCAGAACTGACTGTGAGTTTAGTATCTATATTGATTGGCATCAAGGACCAGCAGCTGCAACTGATAATACTTGGTATATGTTAGTTAGTGATGGCATATTGTTGGTTGTGTAATGTTTATTTGCTTATCAATATAGCATGAGTTCTTTCCTGTGAATGTATTGAACCAATTATTCCAGATAGACCAAGAAGAAACGGCATCAAAGTGTACTCGACCAACTCGACTGATGTACCCAGTGGTGACAACTGCTACAACGTGATAGGAAGAAGTGATGGAAGTTGGATTCCTGACGTCACACGGGCACCTTGTTCCGGCATGGGACGATACATTTTACTGTACACAACTGTGCACAATGATGGCGATACCAGTACCAGTCTGCCTGTGCTTGACTTTTGTGAGGTGGACGTAGATGGTAAGCAAACACTTGAACTCCAGGTTCTCTGCAGCAGGTTGCAGCGAAATTGTTAAGAAAATATAGCACTTGAAATGTTATTGAAATGAAGCAAAGCAAATAAGAGTAAGCTTACATCATTACACATGAATAACTTCAAAGTGAGTTGTTTAGTGTTATAAAGTAAATTATCCCTACTTATCACTTCGTAAATTGTCCTTGCATATATTTCCGTAAACAGGAATTAGGAAGTATCTGAAGTGTCTGAACATGATCAAATTGAGCCAGAATTGTCGAGAAAGTGTTTTTTTTCTCCATTTAAGTTTGTTCTTGAAAAAGCAAGACAACATAGCTACATACATTTGTGTTTTAAGTAAGCAAGCAAAATGTGCATGCAAAATAGGTTATGAATGATCATTTACAGATGCATGTTCACTGGATAAGAGGCATATATATCTACATATATATCCAATAACAAGGACTGGTAATCTTGGAGTCAGGAGACTGTCTGCTTTTCATGTTAAACTCAATACGCTAGCACTATAACACATGTATATTAGATCATCAATATACCTGATGTTTAAGTTAGACTTCTTGACTAAAATGACATTGTTTTGACTTTGCCAATCCGACCATCCATGGGGATGCTTATTTCTTGACCAAATGTTTCCCCCCCATTTTTGACAAATTATCCTGAACTTATGAAGACAAATATGTGAGGAAATCATTATTAACTGATTAAAGCATCATTTAACATTAACATAAAAACACGAGGCCCTGAAAGTGGTAATTATAGCATAAGCTCAGGCATATTGAATAGGGATGCTGATGCTTTTTATTCTGTTTCGTGAGACAGTCTTTACGTGAAAACCAATCAGTTCTGTGTCATCCATAGAATCTCATTTCCCTCAAGCCTGATATAACTTAACGTCTACATATACAAATTAAATACTGATGTTAATTGTGTTTGGTAATCATCCCTACCGGACAAGCTCATTTGCCCATTATTGCAAACAGATGGGATTCGACAGTCAACACTTGAATAAAACACATATTAGAAAGTTATTTTAGATGTAAGGACGTCAGATTTAGCAAACACTCTGCAAACCATGCATTCTTACAAGTGTTTATAAACACCCATGGACTACATTTAGAGATCTATGTTCATCTATATGACAGTGTGTGGTCCTGGTACTTTCGGCTCTGACTGTGACAACTACTGCCATTGTGACGGTGATGTGTGCAACTACGTTAGCGGTGTCTGTCCCAGTGGAATTTGTATGTCTGGCTGGGGCAGTGATAGTTGTGATACTGGTAAGTAACAACTAAACGTAATGAGTTAAGAAAAGATACTTTGATTAAATTGAGATATCATTACCTATTATTGAACAATAGAATTTTATTCAGAGTATTTTCAATGTATTGAGGCTTTTGCGAAAAAATAGTTTAAAACCAAACTACTCTTGACTAAAACATGAATAATAACCATTCCACCTTTAAAGTCAATTCTGCTAAGTTAACGAGGGTTTTGAAATCACAATAACAAACCCTGATTGAAACAGTTGTTTTTTGACGGCCGATTCACAGGATGTTAACATTCAATAGAAAAGAAAAATAACACTGTTGATATCCTCACATCATTCTACAAGGATTTACTAAATACTTCATTGTTTTTCGTTTTCAAATCCCATGAGAAGAATGTGCTTGAATTGTACGATAAAGGATCCGCAGACCCTGTAATAGTCGTCAAAGCACTGCAGTTCCAAAACACAACCCATTGTTTTGGAAGATGCACGTGCAGTTGTCTTGATATAAAATACAATGGGTATTAAAAAATGCACAAAAGATGTATCACGCTTAACGCATAATAGACAGAAAGAAGTCCGTAGGAATGAGGCAATAAAATGGGTGCTTACCACACCCAGGTGTCAAGAAACTATACTCGTGCAACCATCATCAGACTGTTTCAAAGTTACAGACCGACTGGCTGTAGACAGGACAGGGCACGATCAGGCATACCACACGTGACGACGCCACATGACGGTCAGCACTTATGTACTTTGCATTGTGCAAGAGGTTAGCAAAAGTGATGGATACAGCGTTAGGACACCGCATCAATCGATACACTGTACAACGTCTCTTTGTCAAGGTATTCGAGCATACCACCCAATCTTTGGAATGGCCTTCACTCATGCACATCAACGTCGAAGACGGTAGATCCTTGATTGGCAGAGAGTGCTTGTTACTCATGAATACTGTTCATTATGAAGAGTTGAGTTACTGCAAATGTTATCTTAGAGTAGTCAAGTCTCGCAACGTTTTGAAGTATCAGCAATTTCGTCGAAGAAGAAGACTGCACACAGTATACTGAACGTTAGGAACACTACTTTTGGGCAAATGAGATAGCGGTTGAAAAAGAAGAAAAAGGCTATCTTGATGAGTGTTTGTGGCAGTACAACTTATCCTCCCCCATATTCCTTGACACGTCATGTGCACGCCACCTTTTGTGAGACATTCATGATGCATGAAATATCACTTATGATACCAGTATCAAAGACATCTCCATCGTATAACCATTCATGCTTTGTTTCATTTCCAGCCCCCATCCACATAGGTGTACACTATAGGTTGTAGCAAGATCACGAGGGGAGCGTCTTTTGGCTGGGGTCCCGAGTTAGGTTTTATACCACGAGCTGGAGGGACGCATAAAACCCCTTGTACACCGAGTGATCCTGCAACAACACATTTATCTTACTGACATGTCTAAATGTGACATTGTAAAAAATATCAAACTTGATAAAAAACAGCTGTTCGATTGAGATGAGGTTAACTTGTGCTTTGTCACATGACTTCCACTGACTCGGGAAAAGCGTGCAGCTTATCGCTTTCAGAAACACGTGCAGACTGCAGTGCTTGTGCTGGGGGTATAAAGAAATGTATTCCCCTCCAAAGCGGCTTAAACAGTATTTTATCAAGATCACGTGGGTCAATCTGCCAGAGAGGTATGATACTTTCGGCAGTTTATTTCAGTATATGGCCTTGCCTTTCCACCTTACAACCATGTTAATTGTCTGTTGTTGTAGACGATCGATCTATTGTTACTGCTTTTTATATGAACGCCACGTAGACAAAGACCCTACATATATACAGGGTGAGTGTGTGAACATGACTTACATTAGATCCTGCGTATATACAGGCTGTGTCCAAGGGGTGCAGTATGGTGCCGGATGTGTTGGTAACTGCAGTGCCCGGATGTGTGAGGGAGGGTCGGGCACCTGTCCCCGAGAAACTGATCGGTGTGAGGATGGATGTCAGTCAGGATGGGAGGGCATGGATTGTATTCATGGTATGTCAGTTTGACGTGGAGCACATTATGGCACATGTCTGTGTAAGTATGTTTGAATGACGATTTCTAGAATGATGTCATGCCAATTACTGTGTATAAGAAATAGGCAGTAACCCTATGATCAAGTTGAATTTTGAATGACATGTAACCCCACAATTGATGTGTTAGGAGTTTTTAAAAAACATGTAACTACCAAGCAGTGACCTAGAATACTCGTACTTATTGGGGACACATTCTAGGGAATGCTACGTTAAAACAGCAGTTTTGATGAGAAAAAAGTTTTCAGACACTGGATTGCCTTGTTGGTATAGCCTCACGTTACTCATATGCGGGTGAGCTAAAATCAAGTTACAAAGATCTGTTCGAATCATCTTTACTCAAACCATAAGATCTATGAAGTTGAAACATTGGCATAATGTAAAGCAACTAAAAATGGCTTCTATCTAATTTGAAAAAAGGTAACAATCGTAGTTCAATATTTTCTTTGGAATTATCATTTCTCAAAACCAAAGGTGGAAAATGTTCAAACAAATTTTGAAGTAGCTGCAAGGATGAGTAGGACCAAGTATAATGCTATCTGACTAAGATAACTATTTTCTTGAAATGAACCATCAAGAACATCACAGTGATCAAGCTGTCACACATGCTTTATATAACTATTACAAGCAATTTCACGTTTCTTTTATCCATCATCACCTAATTTCAAATTCTTGGCAATACTGTGAAAAGAAATGTCTTGCGTCTCACAAATAAAAACAACCACGTTTCTCTTATTGACCACACACGATTTCCACACATACCACATCAGCATTTCATCACGTTCAGAATTTACCTGGTGAGCAAAAGTATATTGATGTTATTTGGAAGAATATTGAACAGAGGTTTTGCAAGTGTATACATTTATCCCACCCGTTAAACTGTTTTACTTTCAAGTTGTGAGCAGTTTGTCTCCAATCACAAGTGTATCCCCAGTAGTAGCTGGCATCATTGGGTCTCTCACTATGCTGATTGTCTTGGCCATGGTTGTAGGCGTGGTCTGTCTGTGGAGGAAGGGAGACTTCAGGTGCGTTACCTTGGACAGGTGATACATGCATGCTTGTAGTTTTGTTGCATGATGCAATACAAGAACACCCCAGTGGATATTGATTCCACAAATGGATGGTAAGTGTGGAAAGCAGACACATGTGTGTTTTAGAATCACAAAAGACACATGATGATGTGTACATGATTTTGTAGAAACATTGACGTTTTCTTTACGAATTTTGAATCTATTGTAATTGTTCAACTCAGGATGGACAAGAAAACACCTGGCATCCCTGAGACAAGCCCTGCCCCTCCTGTAGAACTCCCCACGTATGATGTGCTGCCTGATCATGACTACACCAGGCTAGACAGGATCCATACAGATTATGAGACGTTACAGCCTACAGTTGACTACCAGATTACTGATGTCCGCATCTAGTGTTGGAGATGTGTTCAATTCTCAATTCTTTATTCATGTACATGTGTAGGCCAGCGGCCCATGGTACAATATTCGGTCCATCATTAACATTTATAGGCTTAGTGTTTGGAGTCTAACATTCATAGCATGGTATATAAAAGTTGCAAAATTTCTAATTACAGTTTCATTGTTTACCGCCATAAGCATATTGAATTTAGCAAGAGTAGGATGAACAAAATACTTCTGTGGTAAATACTGAAGACGAAGTTCATCATAAGCGTTACAAATTAATAAAAAATGATATTCATTCTCGACATATCTTTGGTTGCAACTATTGCACAATCTCTGCTCTCGTGGAGTATTAACGTATCTACCAGTCTCAATATGGAGAGAGTGGGAGCTACAGCGAAACTGGGTTAGTGCAACACGAAATTTGTTGATAGTGATAGCAGACAAATACAACTCTAGACTGAATTAATTTTTGAAAAGTGTATAATGGAACATTTTAGAACTATTTGCTAAAGACCAATGCCAGTCCTCTTCGTAAGCAAATTTTAACAGATCTTCACATTCGGAAATAAATGATTCGGGGCAAATAACATATTGGTTCTCCCATATATATCCAAATCCAAGGCTGTTTAAAAGAGTTTTGACTTTTGTAGCCCAATTAGTTTTACCATGTGTGGCTAGCTGAAATAACATATCATAACTTTTCTTAGGATATCGTGAATTTGGTAGGGACATAAGTTTACACCAATATTTTATACAGCGTTTATACGCAGAAATGTACAGTGGGTATCTTCCACACTCTCCTCGCACAACATGATTGGGAGTAGACGTTTTAACACCTAGCAGACGTTTACAAGCAAGTACATGGATACTTTCTATTTCTTTGCAGTTTTCAAAACTCCACATTTCAGCCCCATATAACATAATTGGAGCAATTTTAGTATCGGATATTTAAAAAAATAGTTTCAGTGGAATAGGTTTAAGTGATGAAAGGGATTTTAGAACCGAGAACAATACCCGTTTAGCCTGTAATGAAGCATTGTAAGTATGTTTCGACCATGATAAATTCTCTGAAAATACAACTCCCAAATATTTGTACGATGATACACATTCCAACTGACAACCACTGAAATACCATTTCTCAGATCTAGAAAGTACACCACCATTCTTAAAAAACTACTATTTTCGACTTATCAAGATTTACCTTTAGGAAATAATTCCGACAATAGTGTTCGAGTACATCGATGCGTTTTTGGAGGCCATATACAGTATCTGATATAAGAATTACATCATCAGCAAAGAGTAGCAGGAATAGTTGAATTATGTCTGGATGGAGCTGGATTCCGGGTTCACAGTTAGCCTCAATTTCAACAGCTAGATCATTGATAAACAATGAAAACAAAAACGGGCTCAGTACACAGCCTTGACGGACACCCAAGTCACAATCGAATACATCTGAGAAGTTATTGTTAAACTTTACACAGGAACGTACAGTCGTATATATGGATTGTATACACTTAAACATTTTAGGTGACACACCACTGTTATTCAAAACTATCCATAGTTTTGATCTGTTTATAGAGTCAAATGCTTTGGAGAAGTCTACAAATAAAGCATATAGTTTACCTCGCTTCTTCCCAGATAACGCTGTATAACTGACTGTAAAATAAACATATTATCAATTGTGGAATAGCCACAACGAAATCCTGCTTGCGACTCCACAACTTTATCATAGGCATCACACCAAGACTGCAACCTTCTATTTAGAACAGAAATATATAGCTTGCTAAAAATACTTAATACTGTAATCCCTCGGTAGTTATCGGGTGTACTAGTATCCCCTTTCTTGTGTAATGGTACAATTTGGCCAGTCGACCAGGAAATCGGAAAATAAGCGGAATCAAACATAACGTTAAACAGACAGGTAATATAGGGAACTAACACATCGCATGCGTATTTGAACATTTCAGCAATAAGCTTATCACTGCCAGCAGCTTTGCCTGTTTTCAATTTGTTAATTACCTCCTGCTGTTCAATTGGCGAGTCTAAGATTGATTGAGTTAAGTCATCAAAATTGTTATCTGGCACAGTGTTATCTTCATCCCCCATTTCTGAATCAAACAACCCCTTAAAATGTGAAAACCATTGCTCAATATTTATATTTGGCTTAGGACGGACAGTGGTAGCAGACAGACGTTTCAAATTTGCCCAAAATATTTTACTGTTATCCAAGTTAGTCAAAATGGTACTCTGTACATTGTCTTGATATAACTTCTCTTTTTCACGGATAACATGTGTATAAGTATTTCTTGCCTTAATATAGTTAGAAAGTGATGACGAATCTTTTAGTGATCGGAAAACCTTAAGAAGCCTATATCTTTCACAGCGGTGGTATTCACACTCCTTATCGAACCATGGCTGTTTACTTCTAGAAATATAAGAAGGGCGTTTCATACATTTCGCAGCGGTACATAAAACATCTGAAAATACCTCAACTGCTTTATCAATTTTACCTGAAGCGATAAAATCTGAACACTTGTCAAGCATTGAAATAGAATTTGTAGACAGTAAACTATCTCTAAAAGTTTGAGTTTTGTCCTCGTTCCACACAAAGCGGTAGCTGTCCCCTGGGTCTCGTGCAACACTCTCACGGTCTCTCGATCCAGCTTTGGCACGTGCGTGAAATGAACATGTAACTGGCATATGGGTCGACTCTGTTCTATTTGCAATGTCAAACTGTTTGCACAACATAAACAATGAAGGGGATGCAACAATATAGTCGATTACGCTTGTGCCATTGTGGCTGATGAAGGTATAGTCACCTTTTGCCGCGTCTGATCCACATCGGCCATTGAAAATGCACAAATTCAAAGCACTACATACGTTTAGTAAAATCTTACCAAGGCGATTAACAGTAGTATCACAAGAGAAACGTTTGGTGATCACATTGCCATAAATATCAGAAGGTTCCTGGATGCCAAGCCTTTCAGCAATATCACTCTCTGTGGCATCGGGCTCATTACCGGTTCGGGAATTAAAGTCACCTCCAAGCATGATAAACATATCACCATATTTTTGTATAACATCTAACAAGGATTCAAATAATAAAATTATTCCACATTTTGTTGGTTTACCTCTGTACCAAGTTGACCCATCAGGATTGACATAAACACAAGCTACCAATACATCTTTTTCTAGCCTAAATACCGATTTATCCAAAATAACATATATCACATTCTGTCCAATAATGTGCTCTTTGACATAATTGACTACAGACTTTCTAATAAGTACTACAATCCCCCCCAGTAATCTCCCAAAAAATGACAATCTCTCTGCAGACAAAACATATGGCTGGTAATCACCGAGCTGTTGATCAAAATCACAGTCCTTGGCCCATGTTTCTGTGAGTCCAATAAAGTCAAACTGTGTGATATATGAAACAAATTCATCGTCTAAAAGTTTATTAGTAATACCGGAAATGTTCCAGAACAAGAAATCTGAAATTGATTTAGTAACACAGCGATAATCCGGGCCTCGGCCACAGCTCTATTTATCATTAGTATCTGTGTCCTGCCTATCTGAATGCTGTTGGTAATCCTTAACGACAAGGGCACCATTCTTGTAGTAGCCTTGCTTGTTGTTACGTCTCAAATCCTGGAGTACTTTCCTCTGGTGTGTGGTGAGATCACTGCCTATACCATATCCACTCTCCTTCAGTTTATCGCGCAGGCCTATTGCTCCCACTTTGGAGATGTGTTATATCCCATAGAGCCCACAACGGAGTGGACATTGCATACTTCAGTATACTCAGTGATCAGAGGGTTTTCAGACTTTGTTTCATGTCGGACACATAACACATCACCCACTAGAACACAGCGAGACATTAAAACCTGCAGTTGATTGCAAATGAACTGATGTTGTATGTTAGACATGGTCCACATATAAACACATCACATCGACATTATCTAATTGGAGGATGAAGTGAACTTATTGAGGCAAATGTAATTAATACCATTGGATTCCCAAACACTTAAAACAGCTGTTTGTAGTTTTGCAAACTCTGAAAAAAGTGTCACTGTATCAAAACATTTGATTTGTTTACTTTGTCCATATCTTACCCTAATGACAAAGAACCTCAAACCTTAATCCAGGAGGAATTTGTCCATATTACGTGGTGACCATATATATAGTTACTGGCAAATTGGTAGAAAACGAAAAGACAAAAACAAATATCACCTGAAGTATACAAGGAAACCAATATGTGAAATGCTGGACTAGAGCAGGACGTGCTTACGCTTTTTGCGAACACCTGGTGTCATCATTGATTTTCGGTTATCCATTCATATTGTTCCCATCACCCTTTCGCCTATCATGTCGAATGAATGTTTTTTGGCAGATAACTGACACTGATCATTCCCTGGAGTTGTTTGAACCTCCTCATAGACATGTAGACAAAGGCGAGGTATCCCCAGTCGTGCTCCCCTACTTGCTCATGTGTTATGATGCTTATGAATCGATATCCGAAGTTTCAGGTATATAAAAGATCTGATATCGTTCAATTAAGCGCAAATATCACTTCCTCTGATATACACACCTGAAGCAGACACAAAAGAGATAAATGAAACTGCCACATCTCTGTCATATTACAAATTCAGATTTAGTATCCACAAAAGTGTGTCACACAACTCAACTTTTCATTTATGTCGAGGTATATGATGACAAATTGATGTCCGATGGATATCCATTGGTTTGTTCATGTGAACACTACACTTGCTTGTGCATGTGTTTGTGACTGGTGCAACCAGTGAGGCAGGATACGCTTTTCCGCGAGCGGCAGTTATCATTGATAGCTATTTATAAACACATGTACATTATATAGTCGGAATCGTAAAATGGACTCTGCCTTTAGTAGAAATTTCTTATGTTTAAAGAAATGGTTTTGTCGCTTTTATAGAAATTTGTAATGGAACTATCTGCAAA